ATGCAGCGTGTCAGAGTGAAGCCTCCTGCCTCATAAACCATCTCTTCCCACTGACAGCGTCACGTTACAGATGTAATCTACCCCCCCCCACACACACTCACACACACACACACACACACACACACACACACACACACACACTCTGAGCTCTGAGAAGAAACCTTTAACAACCTAAAAGTTTCACCACCTTCTCACTCCCTGCTCCCTTGTTTTTTCCCAGAATGCCGAGGTGTCTGTGTTCGAGGTCAACATTCGTTTCATAGGAGGCCTGCTGGCTGCCTACTACCTTTCTGGACAGGAAGTAAGTGTTCACCTGTGTGTTTTTATTACCTGAGAAGGGATGACGTCCGTCATCTGTCCTAAACTCCTCTTGTTCTCATCCTCATTCTCACCCCCCCTGAATGGATTCATTCAATATGAGCAGGAACATCTCGGATTATCTTTTAATAGATGAACAAGATGCTCTTCACCCTGCGTTTAATGGATTCATAACCCTCTGAACAGGCCCAGTATGATGTGTTCAAACCAACCAGACCACCATGAAGATTATTATCATTATCATTGAAGAACTCGGCTCGACTCAGCTTCATTTTGCACTTGTTAAGCTGAATAAATGAGCGCAGGTCGTTTTTTTCCATTTGTGATTAGTATTAAAAAAATGAGCAAATGAGAATTTACAGGCCGTTTCCATGGAAACGAGAGAGACTTCATGGATTAAGTGAAGCTCACTAGAGACTCTGTCCTTTATGAGCAGAACCGTGAGTCCGTCTTACTTAAAGTTTGACTCCACCACGCCGCTGAAGCCGCGCGGGACGCCGAGGTTCAGAAGGGCCAATGAGATTAAGTCTGAGAGGTGTAGAGGACGGAAGGAGAGTGAGAGCCTTTAGAAACGGAGGAAGATGTGGGGAAATGGGCCGTGGTCTGATGAGGAGAGAGTCCACGGAGCCATGTGACCCAGTCGTTCTACTGGGCCTCCCGCAGACCTTCACGTCTCCTCAGCGGATGATTCGCATTTCGATTCTACTCCAGCGTGAACAACAAGGAAGAATCCGCTTCGTTCTATTTTCGGTACCACTCTGGGAAAGCGGCGTCCGGAGCACCAACGTGGTGCCGGCACATTCATTCAACTTCAGCCACAGTTTGGAGGCTGAAGGGGAAACCCTGTTTCCACCAACCCTCTGACCCGCATTGAAAAGCAGCTCGCTCTTCAAACAATCGCCAAAACGACGGCGCCAAAATCACAGCCAGAAGCGGTAGAAAAACGCTCTTACTGTCCTCGAACGCATCACACGCGCGTGACGTAAAAAACACCTGAATGAAGCGGAGGACGAGGGTTCATGTGTTACACAAAGTACGTGTCGAGGCTCATAAGTGCTTGTCATGTTTGTAGGAAGACAATGAGGTTGTCCCTGAACAGGAGACGTGAGGTGCCTTCAGCAAGTCTGGATTTGGATCAGATAGAAGTGCATGCTGGGAGCTCGCGGCCATCCACAGAGGCTTAAACGGACCTTTGAGGAGTGCGTTGGTGTTTTGGGGGCTTTTAATAAGTCACACCCACGTACGTCCTCCGCTACCCGGACACCCATCTCTAGTCTTTTTTGTCTCCTGGTCCTCGGTCCTATTTCTCCTTCCTCATTAGTTCTCACATTCTCCATCGTCCTCGGCAACCCGCTGGCGGTCGGCTATTTTCTTTGTGCAATACAAGTGAATTCTTTTTAACAGAGTTCATTGTCCCTCAAGCTGCTCGCTCCATATTTGATGGTAGAATATTGGATTCATGCAAAAAAGACGAACAGTCTCCACCTTTTCAGTGTGATTAGGAAGACGTGTGAGTGCAGCTCTCCCGGTTTGTGTCTCGCTGTGAGTGTTTTGTCATCAAGGTTTGAAATTCATGCTGTGAATAACTGGGTTGTTTTGTTTGGGCATGAATGCGACACCTCTTGTAACAAGCGTCATGTCTTCCTGTGACAATTACTCTCGCCGTGAAGAACACATTTTCAATAAATTCCAGCAAATAATAAAAAGCAAAAGACGTGTGACTCTCCTCCTTGAGGTATTTTGGACCAACCAGGACCAACGAAGCATTCGCCTGCATGCTCTTGGTGCTAACTGTGCTAGCTGACGCTAACACTAGAAGCCTGAAACACACACGTACGCTTCTATCTGTCAGCGTTAGCCAGCTTCAGCCGTGCTCCTGACACTTGCTATGCTAGCTAGCTCTACCACTAGCAGCCAACAGAGGGCGCCGTTGGTCCTCTTCAGATGAATAAAACAATAGCTGTGTGGTTTGTTTGTGCTCCAATACGGCTCCATTTGTTTCTGGTGGTTAGCGGTTGTTGCGAGAAGAATACTAAGCATGGCGGGGGGGGGGTCGCGGTGCACCCGATGTTGACCAAACTCTTCCTCTTCTCGTCCTCCTCAGATGTTCAAGCTGAAGGCGGTGCAGCTAGCTGAGAAGCTACTTCCTGCCTTCAACACCCCCACAGGAATCCCCTGGGCCATGGTCAACCTCAAAAGGTCAGTGGGCAACATACACAGTGGCTTTCGCCCCCTTTTCTGTTGATACGGATCATAAAACACATTTTATTCTCCAGGTTTATCCACCTCATCGAATATATTCTTTATCTGTTTTGTTTACTTCTGATTTATTCTGCATCAACTCCATCTGGAAAAGTCTTTTTGGTTTTAAAATTCCATCCACCCACACGGGTGTTTTCACCCGATTAGACGTCCTCTCAGGACCGTGTGGGTTTGTGCAAACGGCTCTTATACTCTCATTGCCATGGTTACACAACTCTGTTGTTGATTCCCACCCGGCCCAGTGAGTGAGTGAGTGAGTGAGTGAGTGAGTGAGTGGGGTGACCCCCGCATTTATTTTTTATTTTTTTGCAGTTTTACGTGTGTTGTTTCGGCTGCTTTGACGTTTCAATCCACGATCAAATTATTAACACATTTTTCTACAGTATATATAGTGTTCTAGTACATAGATTTCTACAGTATTATACAGTATCAATAATACAGTCATCAAACCGCAGATTACTTCAAGATTTTATTCTTTTGGTTTTACGCTTTTCAATTCTCCATTTGGAAGCTCTTATTTGAGAAAAATAGTAACACGTAATGGTGAAAAACTTGCATTGTAAATATTACAAGGCATGAATGAAAACGTCTATCTGTTCTGTTAAAAACCATAGTGCTCCTCTGCGTAACGTCCTAATCTTCCCTCGTGCTCCTGCAGCGGCGTGGGGCGTAACTGGGGCTGGGCGTCGGCGGGCAGCAGCATCCTGGCGGAGTTCGGGACTCTCCACATGGAGTTTGTGCACCTCACCTACCTGACGGGGAACCCGGCCTACTACCAGAAGGTACCGTCTCCACGCTGCTCACAGCTGGCGGGGTTTGATCGGCCATTGCAGATCGTTTCGGGCATCTTGGCAATTCCCCAAAAATGGCCGTGAACTGCACCAAGCGTTTGCTTGGTGATGTAGTTCGATACGCACGGCTCATGTACCGATGTTATACTACTAATGAAATGTAGCTCAGATATTGCATGAAGGAGCATCTCCTTCAGTTATCTGGTGCATTGAGAGACACAAAATGTCACAGTGAAAAGAGGACGGATGTGTCATTAAAACCCTGCTGTTGGTGCCAGGTGATGCACATCCGGAAGCTGCTGGCCAAGATGGACCGACCCAACGGGCTGTACCCGAACTACCTGAACCCCCGGACGGGCCGCTGGGGCCAACGTGAGTAGATGCTTTCTGACTTCGTGAGCCGGAATGTTCTCGTGACCTCCAGGAGGAGGAGGAGGGGGGGAGGCGGCTCTAAACAGGACAAATGGAAGCGGGTAGAAGAAGATTTACAGTATTCCCGGGTTATTGATCGGCTATTGGCTGTGTGCCTGCAGGGGGGATTGACTGAGAGCGGTTAAACTATTCCGGCCCTGGAAACTGTCCGTTGTGCTTGGAGTCATTTACACGAGGACATAATCAAAGCTGAGGGAGACAAACCTGCAGCTTAAACAAGACGCTACATCGATGTCATCTGGGTTTAAATGTTTGGTGAACCGCTTTCCCTCCGTTGTCCTCCTTCACCCAACGAGACCGGCTGCACATTTCAGGCATTTCAAGTACAAAGAATCTCAGAGAAACAAACACAACTCACAAAATATTTGTACACGTATTAAACAACCTTCCAAATTCAGGTTTTGTCTTTTACTGAACAATATAATATATTTACTCCAACCGGAACGCGGCTCCGGTTTGGTAAAAATCAACCTTTTTATTCCCGACTTGGACGTCGTCTACATTTTGGTGTCAAGTTTTTAAAATGTAGTTGATTGATTTGCATTTCATCCCTTCTGTGAGTCCTTTTCTCTTTCTCTAACCTTTATGCTGATAATCGTCCTACTCGGACGCCGCTCCGCGTCTCACGGCTCGTCATCCGTGAACACGTGACTCCAGAGCGCCGCCGAGCTCTTAAAATGACGTCACCCCCCCCCCCCCCCACGGGAGAATCACGCGTTCCTTTCTGTTTATTGCTCAGTGTTTCGGTAAGACGCCGGGTGGCAGACATGTGGGGATTCATGGCTTATTATTTCTACATTTCAACGGAATATTACAACCACGCGGATATTCAAATATTCCTTTTAATCTCAGCGCTGTCACTTTTTCACCCGTCGCTCCGACAGGAAATGAAAAGATGAAAGCTGCTTTAAAAAAACGAATACACTTTGTGTTGTTTCCATTCGTCCAGGGGAATCAGTGCCATATTCAATTTATTCAACCCCACAACACTCACCGGGTAAATGAGAAATAAACAAGACACGCACAAACACATGAACATATACACACACACACTGGGGTCGAGCAAGAAGACACCTGCTTCTTATTTGTTGCTCCATTTGTTCTACTTGTCAAGAAACAAATGGAGGCCACTGGGGTATGGATGGAGGGGCTCATTAAGGGAGGATGAGGGGGGGGTGACAGGCAGACAGGCCCAAAGCAGCAAACGGTAAGGGTAGAGGGCGGATGGATGGATGGATGGAAGGATGGATGAGGGCATCCACAGATGGAGAGCGAGCTGGGAAGCAGCAAATGGGAGGGAGCTTTTAGATCTGCTGTCAGCTCTGTGCGTTGTAAAGTATTTATACACAAGCTCCATCAGAGACATGCACATACACGCTATCCGAGACATGCACATACACGCTATCAGAGACATGCACACACAGGCTATCAGAGACATGCACATACACGCTATCAGAGACATGCACACACAGGCTATCAGAGACATGCACATACACACTATCAGAGACATGCACATACACGCTATCAGAGACATGCACATACACACTATCAGAGACATGCACATACACGCTATCAAAGACATGCACATACACGCTATCAGAGACATGCACATACACGCTATCCGAGACATGCACATACACGCTATCCGAGACATGCACATACACGCTATCCGAGACATGCACATACACGCTATCCGAGACATGCACATACACGCTATCCGAGACATGCACATACACGCTATCCGAGACGTGCACATACATGCTATCCGAGACATGCGCACACACACACACACACACACACGCACATACACGCTATCAGAGACATGCACATACACGCTATCAGAGACATGCACGCACACACACACTATCAGAGACATGCACACACACACACACACACACACACAGACCTATGCAAAGGAAAAGGAGAGACCAGTCTATTCTTAAGAAGGTGGTAGAGGAATGAAAGAGGGAGCCTGACCCCCCGGTGAGGAGGAGGGAGGCAGCTCTGAGGAATGTAATTAATGGCCAAAAGAGGCTCGGTGTAACAACCAAAAAATGGATGTTGATGAATCTTTGCGAAACGAGGCAATGATGAAACTTTTCCTTCACTTATTTTCCTGTTCATTCATTGAGCTGTGAGGTAATCACAATGGTCTTTGAGCAGTTGGGACCCTTTTTGTTCGCTTGAGATAAATAATAATGTCAAGCTACGATGTGGACTCGCTTTGTGTTTGAGCTCCTCTGAAAACAACAAGGTCCCTTTGGTTTGTTGTTGTAATTCTTATTTCTGCCACAAGAGGCGTCAAACTACAGAAGGACAAACCACTTGTTTTGGAAACATGTGGTTTTTAATCAATAATTCTAACATGTATGAAGAAGTAAGATCCCAGCCGCTGCCATGACAACATGTGTCAGAACAGAACAGTTCAACCTGTTTTTATACCGCGGAATTGTTTTTATATTTATAGCCGCTTTTGTTCTTTGGATTTGTGTGTGTGTGTGTGTGGCGTAAGGTGTGTAGTCAGTAGTTAAGGCGCACTAATGAGGAATCAGGCTGAGCTCCTTTTTCTTAATGAGATCCTGCTGTGACTGATGGCCTTATTGTCACACACACCTCTCACACACACACACACACACACACACACACACACACAAACGCACGCGACAAGCCGGTCGATCTCCTCTTCATCGGTGGATTATCATCAGTTAACAGATCAGTTCACGCGGTAGTTAAAGCTATTAAAGTCGGCTCGACACAGAGACTGAAACCTGCAATCACAACGTCCTCGCTCGATATCAAGGGAAAATATCACAATTAAGACTAAATTGAAAAGTTGGATATCTCCAAAGTGAAGACGGTCAAATTAAAATGAGCTGTTCATTGTTTTTAATTTTGTATTATTTGGTTGGAGGCGCCAGGGTCCAATCGGTGGATCACATTTAGTTCAGTTGGTTTTTAATGTTCTGAAGCAGATTGTGTGTGTGTGTGTGTGCGTGCGTGTGTTCCTCCCTCCACGCTAACCCTTTTCTTTACCCCGCCTGCTCTTTTCAGACCACACGTCGGTCGGGGGACTCGGGGACAGTTTCTACGAGTACCTGCTGAAGGCGTGGCTCATGTCGGACAAGACGGACACGGAGGCGCGCAGGACCTACGACGACGCCATCGAGGTACCGCGTGTTCGAGGGCTGCGCTCACTCCCTCCGCCATATGCAGACACGCGTCTACATGAATATAATTTACACACATTCAGAATGAGTGTAAATGCAAATAACGTAATAAATAATGAATGAATTGATCAGTAAGTCAAGACAAAAAACACAGCTGTGGCAGATGAAATATTAATTGTAGCTTTACATTAAAAACACACATTAAAATGAATGATACGTACTCTATAAAGGGTGGTGTTGTTGGTTGTCATGGTGACGATCACTTTGCTCAGCTAGCTAAGTAGCTAACTAGCCGGCCGACTCAACCTAAATGCTTCAGCGATTGTCTCATCTGGCGAAAGCGATGTCGTCTTCTTTAGAACGGAGATAAACCGTCACTGGATTGTACCAAACGTCCTTCAGCAGAAGGTCAGGTGGGCGGGTCAGGTGGGCGGTCAGGTGGGCGGTCAGGTGGGCGGGTCACTTTACTTACGGACGCAGCAGGAGGCGCTGGTTAGTGGCCTGTCGAGTAGATGATTGGGGTGGACGGGTTTAAAATCTGTCTTTGTTCTGTTTCCTTCGGTTTGACCCTCATGCACACACACTCAATGTCAACACACACACACACTCACACTTATATATATTCTGTTCACAACCTCCACCCACATTCCTGCTGTAATAAAATCTGTGTGGACTTCATCTCTTCACTAACACACGTTTCACACGTCCTCGAGCTGCATATAAATACACTCGTACATATTCGTACACTTAATGTGTCCCCCCCCCCTCGCCCCTCTCTCCAGGCCATCGAGCGCCACCTAATACGCAAATCCAACGGCGGCCTGACGTTCATCGGCGAGTGGAAGAACGGCCACCTGGAGAGGAAGATGGGCCACCTGGCCTGCTTCGCCGGCGGCATGTTCGCGCTTGGCGCCGACGGCTCGCCTGACGACAAGGCCGGACACTACCTGCAGCTGGGGGCCGAGATCGCACACACCTGCCACGAGTCCTACGACCGGACGGGTGAGGAGGGGACCGAGGTGTCAAGTAACGAAGTACAAATACTTCGTTACTGTACTTGAGTAGAAATTTTGGGTATCTATACTTTACTGGAGTATTTATTTTGTTCAGACGACTTTTTACTCCTTACGTTTTCACGCAAATATCTGTACTTTTCTACTCCTCACATTTTAAAAACAGCCTCGTTACTTCCGGCTTGTCGTCGTTCAAAAACACAAAAACCCATCCAGATAAACGGCGCCATCCGGACACAGTGGATGTGATTGTGTTTGGATGAGAAGTATAAACATTTAGCATCCAGACACCCGATTGGTTTTCTCCGCGATGTGCCGGCAGATCGGAGCGACACCGGGTGGGAAAAGTGGTCGGTGGAAAGTTGGTATTTAGCGACATGGAGCCTCCTCCTCTTCCTCACGCAGATTATATGTAATGTTAGATAAGCATCTTCATGGTTTGTCCTAAATGTTTTATTGAGAGTCTGGCACAACACAGCGACTTGCAAGCAGCGTATTAAATAAAGTGACGTGTGTCTTAATGCGGCTTTGCAAATGAACACAAAGGGATTCTGTATTTGCTCATGAAGCCTGAACATTCTGGTTATTTGGTCAATGTTTGATAACCGACCGCTGCCAGTTCAGTGTTTCCCATCATTATACGTAGTGAACCCGGGGGAGACGCTGCAGTCTACCTCATCAATGCGAACAACGTGTGTGTGACTCGTGTCACTGGAAAATGGGTTGTGGTTTTATCTGTTTAAGTCAGATACATTTGTTGTTGTTGTTGTTGTTTCCATCATCCCACCGGCAGGTCACGTGATCTGCAGGCGCCTTCTGATCACATTGTAGCGGACTGACGTGTTGTGTGAGCGAGGTTACGCATTAAGAGTTTGTCCTTAATGGAATTTCTTACATTACTTTTACTTTTATACTTTAAGTAGTTTTGAAACCAGTACTTTTATACTTAAGTAAAAAGCTTGAGTCGATACTTCAACTTCTACATGAGTCTTTTTAAACCCTAGTATCTGTACTTCTACTTGAGTAATGAATGTTCTTCAGGTGATTTTCTTTTCTCAATGGGCCGCTTGATGCTCGTTTCCCCCACAGAAGTTACCGTGTTCTCCACCAGATTAAAGAAGACAACCCTTGCACTGCTTTATTTAAAAGAAAAAGTCCATAAAGAAAGAGATCGGTGTCCAAAAATGTCTCTATCCGTCTGAACGAGGTGGAGTGGTTCGTTAAGCTCATCACACCTAATTGTAATCCCCCCCCCCAGTGCTGAAGCTCGGCCCGGAGGCCTTTAAGTTCGACAGCGGCCTGGAGGCGGTGGCCGTGCGGCAGAACGAGAAGTACTACATCCTGCGGCCGGAGGTCATCGAGACCTACTGGTACATGTGGAGGTTCACCCACGACCCCAAATACCGCCAGTGGGGCTGGGAGGCGGCGCAGGTACCCGACACCTGTTCAACACCAACATCTCAATTGTGTCGTTGGAGGGAAATGAACGCAAAGTGTCAACAGCAAAATGTAGTTTATTGTGTTTATCTGGTCCTCTTCAAACGTCTCCTTTTTTATTTCTCTACTCCCGCCAATCTTCTCACTGTCTGCTTGTTGGTTTGTGCGTTCGTTCTATTTGCTCCTCTGGCTTCCTCCTGGCTTCCTCCCTCCCTTCTCTCCTCGTCTCCTCCAGGCCATCGACAAGTACTGCCGGGTGAGCGGCGGTTTCTCCGGCGTGAAGGACGTGTACTCCTCCAACCCGACGTACGACGACGTGCAGCAGAGCTTCTTCTTGGCCGAGACGCTCAAGTAGGACAAACAAATACTCAAGAAGTTTGATTAGGGTTAATGATTGGTTGGGTTAATTAATCACTTCTGTCATCAGCTGATTGAAAAAGACTCGATTGCCACAATTGTATATTTTCAGTTCATTCAAATAAACAACTATAAAAGAGCATAAAAATCTTTTAAGCAAAGACGAATGAAGCAGCTGCAGGCGGATAATACGAATAAAGTTAACAAAGAAAGCTGAAAGGGAAAAGGTCACTTTACACTTTCACTTCACTGGTAAATAAACAGATTAAGTTGACCAATAACAACGGCCCCTGTTTGCAGACACCATAGAAGAAGAAAGGCCTGCTCCTGTTACTAGGTGACGAAGGGAACACTGTAATATAATTTAATCATCATCCTCCTCTTCCTCCTCCTGGATGAGGAGGCTGTCTCTGGCGCCCCCTGCTGGCGCCTCTTGGGAGGGTTTTGTCCTGTTGGCAGTGCAGACGTCATTGTTATTGTGGCTGTCAATCAAACGTAACGGTTAAACTGAGCGGCTCAAAGGGAAGATTAGTTAGACGTGTAGAAGATATTTACTTCATATGAATGAAAACACGATGACTGAACCACAAAGGACGATATGCATCGATCTGTTTAGCAGCCACACTTTATTATTATGTTAGAACACATATTTAATTCTCCTTCTTCGTGATTCGGAGAGACCAGCGTGCTTATATTACAGATAATCAATACATATAGATGTTAAATTACAGATCATCAATACATGTGGATGTTATATTGCAGATCATCAAGACATGTGGATGTTATATTACAGATCATCAAGACATGTGGATGTTATATTACAGATCATCAAGACATGTGGATGTTATATTACAGGTCATCAAGACATGTGGATGTCTGAACACAGGGTTATGATAAACAATGATGTCGTCGTCATACTAAACAACGAGGGTCTCCATGTATTTGAATAACCAGAGCGCTGTGGCCTAGCGGAGCGTTCATGGTGGGGAAAGTCGTGTCACTAGTGTAACGATGTCACAGCAGGAGGAAACCCCCCCGGTCTGAGGATCAGACCATGTAGGTCAACAAGAATTTATTTAAGCAAACTACGTAAGAAAGATCAGCATCAAACCCGTTTAGCTCCACATTCAGGTTTCTGGCTTCCTTGTTTTTTTTTGCTGAAGCACTCACCCCCCTCCCTCCCCCTCTGTCACCCCCCTCCTCTCCCCTTTAGGCCCCCCCTCTCCCTCCCCCTTATGTCACCCCCCCTCCTTCCCAAGGATATCTGTACCTGTTGTTCTCCAGTGACGACCTGATGCCGTTTGAGAGCTGGGTCTACAACACGGAGGCTCACCCACTTCCTGTCCTCCACCGGAGAAACATCACGCTGCCCGGCAGCGAGCCGGCTCAGCGGTAGACGGGGGGGGGGGGGCACCTGACCCCCCGCCGCCAACCACACCAACACTGGATGAACTGACATTGAGCTCCACTGACTCAAACGAGGGTCTTTCTTCTTTGTTTCATCGGTTTCTGCTGCTCTCGGCTCCCCAAACCGGAGCCGCCTCCTTTTCCTGATTTTCTTTTTTATTCTTGTTATTTCTGTTGATTTTTTTGTGACATTTGACCAAACCCGTCCTTCGGTCCGCGGCGCTCAGAGTGCATTGTGGGGATTCTGTGAAGAGTCTCCACGCAGACGGACGGGAGGACCTCACGTCGTGTTTCTCATTCGGACAAATCGCTACTGGGGGCTCAGGGTCCGCTTCTCCCTGAACCCAGCCCCCCCCCATTCCACTTCCTGTCTGACCTTCAGATGAACTTTGACCTTCAGTTGAGAGGGCAGGTTGTGGCGACATTCCCCTCTTCCTCCTCTCCTCATCTTCGTTTTTTCCAAAAAGTGGACCCTTGTAAGTAGAACAGTAAATACAAATGCAGCCCCCCCCCCCTCATCTCCCCACCTCCCCCCCTCCCCTCCTCCTCCCCTCCTCCTCCGCCGGCTACGTCACCAACACCGAAGCCTCCTGCTGCTCCTTGTTTTGGGATGAAGTTCCTCTGGGCTCTTTGCCTTCGTCGTGTGGAGGGTTGATTCGTGCACTTTGATTGGCGGGTTTCTGAGGGGGGGGGGCGCACAGCGATGTGACCTGTTGCCCCGCCTCCTCACTGAGATGCATGAGCTCGTCATCCTGCTGTTATACTCTGTAATGTTCCTCTCCGAGGCCTTCGACGCCTCCCGCCGCGCTGCAGAGTCCGTTCGGGGTCATTTTCTCATCTGTTCGAGGGACAACTCGCGCTCATCACGACCAACTGCGTGATGCTGACATTGTATCCTCTGGATCCTGATACCAGGGACCTTTTTTTAAAATCTTTAGAGTCCGTTGGTGTCGTCACACGACTCTGGAAGAGGGGCCGAAATCTCTGAAAGCGCCCGATGCCAAAACGACGTGGAGACAAATCTGGAAGCGTAGTTTTTATCGTCGTATAGACGGAACATTCACGAGTTTAATGTACAAAGAAAATGTCTTGAGGGTTTTAGTCTCCGAGAGGCAGCAGAGGTCACGAGTCCGATTTAGAGGTCAAGTTTTCAGCCGCAAGAAACTACATCTCCCATCAGCCCCGGCTCGTGTTAGCAGAAGCAACCAACGAAAAAAGGTTTTCAATAAAACAAACGCACTTCATGATGGGCTCAATAAAGCTGTGCGTGTGTGTCTGTGTGCGTGTGCTCACACACATCAGCTTGTTGTTGTTCATTAAAGATTAAGATTAAAACCAACCCCATTAATGTTTAAAAAAAAAGTATTTAAAGAAGCATCCGTCATTAGTGGAGTTTAGTTATTATTTGTGTATTACTCCACTGCAGAAAATACTCCCCAACAAATGTACTATTAACTCCTCCTTTGTGTGACCACTGTGCAGGGCTTTCTTTTTAAGTATAATTTGGTGGTTATTATTAAAAATGAATGGGTTTGGAGACGTATTTACCCGCCTTATAATTTAAATGTGTCTGGGAAGACTTTATATTTTGAAGGTCTAAAGCCAAACTTCTGACCAGCTTTGAGCGGAGTTAATATTGAATTAATTCCCTTTTTCTTTAGTTCAGAAGCTTCTCAAATCTCTCTTCCGCTTGTAGATGAAGACATTATTCCCTCCATGCTCCTCTTTCCTCAACAATCCATCGATGCGGCATCTGTCCGCCCTCTGACATCACGCTGACATCATATATCTTATGTGGGGGGGGGGGGGGGGTTAACCCGGGCCAACGAGTTGCTCGGAGCGACCTTGATTTTGGAAATTGAGTGTTCTGTATTTGTATTTTTACTGAACAAAAAAAAAAAATCTAATTAAAAGTATCTGTAAATATGTTTAAAACGGAGACACAAATTCAATAAAGATGTTATTAAAAGTGATCATAAACGAAGAGCATGTCCCGTGTTTTCACTTTGACATGTTTCCTGACTTGTTTCCTGAGTTCATGGTCTCAGTCTCGTGTCACGTCTTCTTCAATACAACATGAAGTCAAACACTGCAGCAGAATTTCGATTGACGTCCTCCTACGAGGACGTGTGAGGACGCTTCTCCGCCTCAGTTGATCGCAGCAACGTCCTCCGGGGAACCGATCAAATACATCATTAGAATAAATACATGAAATAGTCGGAATAAGTAGAACGTTAGTTCGGTACCTCGGGGGAAAATAAGTGTATGTGCGGCTCTGTGTGTTTGTCCCAGATAGTCTTATGGGAAAGCGAGCAGCTGCATCCTGAGATGGAAACTCTTGATCCCTGAGAACACTCTGCTCAAACAGTCAATACCAAAAGTGTGTGTGTGTGTGTGTGTGATGAAGCGCAGAGCAAACATTTAACTTCTTTATTTGTAATGAATTCATTGTAACGCTGATCCGTGAGCCGCCCGCAGCTTCAACAAAGGTCAATACGGGGACACATGTCAGGGTGACGACCCGGCCTGCAGGGTCACACGTCACCCTGTGATGGATGAGGGATTCTACAAACTTAACATAAGGAACTAAACCAACGTCCCTCTTCTCAGCTGCTGTGCTACGTAGCTCTGGAAGCACCTCGATGGGCTTTTATTCTGAAAGGCAAGAACAGAAGCAGGGCGTCTGTTTTAAAAGCCGTAGTAAACAACACTGAACAGCGATGAATATCCAGGTGGGTCCGTTTCTCCTGTCGCTTCCTACTTCTGTCACCTGTGGACGGAAGCTGTAACATTGTACCAGTAAACAGGAAGTGACCTCATCTGCATTACAGGTCATTTAGCTTTTATCCAAAGCGGCTTGCATTTCATTTATAACTCATGGCTTTTTTTTTTTCCTCGCGGTTGGCGGCGCACCGTCTCGACTCCACGCGCCTCCATCGTCCCATCGACCGCCACTGATGAGCGACAAAGGCCTGTCAATCAGCACGCCGCCCCGCCCCTGCAGCATCCCCTGCTTCGTGGTCTGTTTGACTACACGGCCCATAATGTACTAGATGAACATCCTGCTGTATTGAAGAAGACTTGAAAGCAGAGACTGAGACCATAAACTCGTGTTTACAATGTTTACTGCGGGAATAAATGGGAGGAGGAACCAGTAGGTTACATGTTGTGACTGTTTTACAAGCTGCTGTGGTTCTTACTGTAAAGCTGATATTTCCGAGGTGGGTGAAGCGAAAACAGATCTGCACACACGTCTCTGTGATGTCACCTCCTCTCAGACCTTCGTCCCGAGCGGTTGGCTTTCCCCTCTCTGCATTACTTTGGTGTCAGAAGAGAAATAAAAAGACTCTTTAGGACTGAAACCCACCCGACAGACGGGATGAGACGTCTCCAGAGATCACAGCCTTCATAGTCGGCGAGGAGGAAGAACGGCTGACCTTCATCCATTCACTCAACATGTTATTGTCCTCTGAGGAATTCATCACTATTTAACGGCAGGTCAGATTTCACCGGGAGCCAAACGTGACCTTCCACACGGGGTCAGAGGAAGCGCTTCAACCGTCCTCAAAAGATTAGCAGGTTCTCGTCAGCAGACGTAGTGGAACCTTTAATTGTGTGTGTGTGTGCGGGTAAAATACAAGCATCCAGGTACATGCAAACCTATCGTGTGTGTCTGTGTGTTAAAGGGCGCTGCTCACCCATGAGTGACGCACACAGTCACTTCTCAGATGAGCAGATGGCACAAACAAGCAGCGTAAAGAACCGAGACAGTATGATATTAACCTTTCTTGTCTTGCTTAATTATATATTAAACTGTACAGTACAGTTAATATACTTTGGTTGTTTTACTGTTGTTTGTAGATCTTGGGATCGTTCATTTTTTATAGATACCTCCAGTAGTTTTATTTACTACTTGTTGTTAAAACCAATACAAGTGTGTCCCCTCTCAGTTTTAGTATGATGCAAAGTTGGAACCCCCCCCCCCACAAACAAAACCACATCCTTGCAGCTGACGGGACTAAACCCACACTAACCATCAGTTTCGTCTCACCTTCTTCTTCCGTTTCTTTCCACCAGCAGAGCGAAGAAAGCCTCCTGACTCTCACTCCGGGAAAATTTCTATTATTATCCAGAAGACAATAACTGGAATATGGCAAATACTGCAAATATAAATATGTGTTGTGTGTGTTTGCAGCTGACAGATGTTTTTCTTCATTCACGTCACTTGACATGTTGTAATCAGGCAGTAACATCTGGTTCTGCTGATGTGTTAAAGCTGCATTCTCTGTAGTGACCAGCAGGGGGCGACTCCTCTGCTCCCATAGACGTCTATGAGGAAATGACTCTACTTCTCTGTAGTGACCAGCAGGGGGCGACTCCTCTGCTCCCATTGACGTCTATGAGGAAATGACTCTACTTCTCTGTAGTGACCAGCAGGGGGCGACTCCTCTGCTCCCATAGACGTCTATGAGGAAATTACTCTACTTCTCTGTAGTGACCAGCAGGGGGCGACTCCTCTGCTCCCATAGACGTCTATGAGGAAATGACTCTACTTCTCTGTAGTGACCAGCAGGGGGCGACTCCTCTGCTCCCATAGACGTCTATGAGGAAATGACTCTACGTCTCTGTAGTGACCAGCAGGGGGCGACTCCTCTGCTCCCATAGACGTCTATGAGGAAATGACTCTACTTCTCTGTAGTGACCAGCAGGGGGCGACTCCTCTGCTCCCATAGACGTCTATGAGGAAATGACTCTACTTCTCTGTAGTGACCAGCAGGGGGCGACTCCTCTGCTCCCATAGACGTCTATGAGGAAATGACTCTACTTCTCTCTGGATTTATTCCCTCAGTAAACATTGTAAACATGAGTTTATGGTCTCAGTCTCTAGTTTCAAGTCTTCTTCAACACAGCAGGATGTTCATTTAGTTAATTATGGTCCGTGTAGTCAAACTGACCATAAAGCAGGTTTATAACGATTTTAGGAAACACAATATGACAAAGGTAGTGAAACCCTGATTCAGAGGTTATGTCTTTACAACAATCTTTTCACCTTCTCTACTCTGTTTTAATCATCCACAGACCTTCTTTTGTTAATGCATCTACTTCAATCTTTTTCTAATAATCATCACACTTTTAGTTTCAAAATAAAAGCGAGCCTTGACTGTCGGCGGGATCATTCTGTGTTCTAATTGTGTTTTATTTTGCAAGGAATCACCTCACTTCTGTTGTTTACTGGAATCAGTCAAGTGTTGGGAGGGTTGGGGGGGTGCTGTTGAAGAAGAAATGTATAGAGGAATGAATTCATGCGTCCCAGAAACATGACTTCCAGAGAATTATTTCTGTTGGCTTTCACTCAGAGAACATCTTCCCGTCGTAATCATCGGCGTTTCACTTCCTCTGCGATGGAACGAGGCTCCTCCATTCAGAGAACATACATTATGTATGTATGAATGTATGAATGTTCACTGTTCCATGATCACCAGGTTTAGATGTCGTGTTTTGGGATATCTTCTCAGACCCTTTGATTCACTTTCATTGCTTCCAGAACAGAACATTTGTTTACCCAGAACAATGTGGCCTCCGTGAATGATAAAGTTAATTCAGCCTGGAAGCAGATTATTTGAAAGAGGTTTTTCTTGTGAGTGTGTTTGGACGGATTATTAGAAACATCTGTCAACCCAATAAACCTATGACCGATTGTGGTGTTTGTAGGTTTTTGACTTTTGACTCACTTTACATTTGAATTGTTTGTTTCCTATCATTATGTTACTGATTTGGCTTCTTCTGATGAGTTATTTGCCCTATTTTTGTCAAAACAAACCATTGGAAAAAAACAAGGATTGCTGACATGTTGCTACTCAACATCAACATCTTTATACATTCAAATAAATACAACAACACATATTTAAAAGAAAAGATTAAACTTTTGAAATTATGATATTTTCCCAATAAGTGGGATCGTATTTATATTTGATGACGTGTGTATGGAATATTACATTTCGATGGGCTTGCCTTTGTTAATCTCTACAGGTGATAAACTGCTGCCGTTCAAAAGGACGCCGCCGCTTGGAGACGGGCTCCGGTTACCATGGCGACGCAAAAATAACCCCGTCGACCAATCACATGCGTCGCCGAGGCGCATTGGTACGAAACTAAACTCGAGGATTTCACACCTGTATGATCTGCCGACGATGAAGGTTTAGACTCCTGATTACGGGTGTGTATATTCCAACTCCGTGTTTTCATTTGAACATACAACACTTACTATTGTTTCTGTTGTAGTTTTACGTCGTAGGAGTGACGTCGTATCGATCAAGGGGGGGGGACTGTATCGCGCCGCGGCGGTGGATCCACTCCGGGCGGTCGTGCTGCGGCTGTATAAAGCAGGCGCGTCTGCGCGTGCGGTTCAAACGTGACTCCTCCGCGCGGCGCTTCTGTCTCCTGCTCGGTGGATTATGAGGACGCGTCTGCAAGAAGTTAACTTCTGCGCTGTCTGACTCCCAAACGCCGCCACGGGACGCTTTCACGGAAGAGCGAACATGTATGTACTGGCTGTCATGGCTCGCTCGTGTGTTCTTCGTGTCGCACTTTGGGAAAGTTACGCGAGGAAACGCCCGCTGAATTGTAGAGTTGTAACCTTTTTTTTTTTACTAAAACGTAACTGTTGGGAACGCCGTGACGTCACCCGCACGGCTGCTCGTGTGTTGATCGCTTGCAGCTCGCGGCGCTTTGCGGAACCCATATGGGATGGGTTCTTCCCCCCATATGGACTCGAGTCCGGTCCTGCTCAACGGCGACGTAGCGAAAGCCCGTCATGTCCAATGTGCGTCTTAAGTTACCGGGTCGCTTCGTGCCCCCAGTCGCGTTCTTCACGGGTAAATTTAGCGAAGTCAGCGGGCCGCACACGACGGTACGTTACCGGGGCTTCGCTGCGTTACCGGGGCTCCGCTGCGTTACCGGGGCTTCGCTGCGTAACGGAACGCTAGCGTTAGCTTGCTAGCTCGGTGTGCGCCTCCGCGGTTCTGGAATAAAAAGCCAGGCTCGCGCCGCCAACTTGTTCTAGAAGTCTCACGAGCTCTCGCCTGCACGCACGCGCGCGCCCGCCCGCGTGTAACTGCGCGCGCGGGCGGCTCGTCTCGCGGTTCCGCTGCTGCTCCGTCTTTAAATGTTTGTCATTTCTGTTAATGTGTTTTCATTGATAAAGCTGCTAGTTTATTTTTAAATAAATACATATTTATTTGTTTGTTTTTAATTCCCGCCATGTGCGTTCTCTCCTCAGTTGACCTGAACTCGTGAGAAGATGGAGAACCAGGAGGACTCTAAGAGCAGTTCGGTCAGCGTCCTCAGCTGGGAGCAGGTGAGCCGGCTCAACGAGGTGCTGACGGAGGTGGTGCCCGTCCACGGGCGGGGTAACTTCCCCACTTTGGAGGTGCGGCTGAAGGACATCGTGGCCCGGGTGCGCTCCCGCCTGGAGCGCAGCGGCATCGCGGTGAAGGACGTCCGGCTCAACGGCTCCACGGCCAGCCACGTGCTGGTGCAGGACGTGGGCTGGAGCTACAAGGACCTGGACGTCATCTTCAGGGTGGACTTGCCGCACGAGGCCGAGTTCAGGCTCATCAAGGACGTGGTGCTGGGCACCCTGCTGGACTTCCTGCCCGAGGGCGTGAACAAGGAGAAGATAACGCCCATGACCCTCAAAGAGGCCTACGTCCAGAAGCTGGTGAAGGTCAACACGGAGCAGGACCGCTGGAGCCTCATCTCCCTCTCCAACAACAACGGCCGCAACGTGGAGCTGAAGTTCGTGGACTCGATACGCCGGCAGTTTGAGTTCAGCGTGGACTCCTTTCAGATCGTGCTGGACTCCATGCTCTCCTACTACGAGCTGGCACAGGCGCCCATGTCGCCGGCGTTCCACCCGACGGTGAGCGGCGAGAGCGTGTATGGCGACTTCGCCGCGGCGCTGGGCCACCTGAGCGGCAAGCTCATCGCCACCAAGCGGCCCGAGGAGATCCGCGGCGGCGGCCTGCTCAAGTACTGCAACCTGCTGGTGCGGGACTTCCGGCCCGCCAGCGAGGAGGAGCTCAAGGCCCTGGAGCGCTACATGTGCTCCCGCTTCTTCATCGACTTCCCCGACATCGGCGAGCAGCAGCGCAAGGTGGAGGCCTACCTCCAGAGCCACTTCGTGGGCGAGGAGAAGAGCAAGTACGACTACCTCATGATCCTGCGGCGGGTGGTCAACGAGAGCACGGTGTGCCTCATGGGCCACGAGCGGCGGCAGACCCTGCAGCTCATCTCCGTGATGGCCTTCCGCGTGCTGGCGGAGCAGAACGCCATTCCCGACGCCTCCTGCGTCACCTGCTACTACCAGCCGGCGCCCTACGTCCGGGACCACAACTTCAGCAACTACTACGTGGCCAACCAGAACATTCCCACGTGGCTGCCGTGTAACTGAGGCGCTGCCGCTTTCGGCCAGAGAGGAATTAAAAAAAAATAAAAATTGCAAAAAATATTTCCCCCTCCCATGAATGAAAAGTGCTAAGGCGAAAGATGCTTGGTGCCCCTCGAGGCGTAATTATATATTCAAGTGTTTTTGTTTCTGGAATCTTTCTCATTCCTCATCTACGGGGTCGTCTGGGTCATCGAAGAGAAAGATATTTTTAAGTGTTAACATTATTTCTTATTTCTCATCGCGTTTGTTTCCCTCTGTTACGGAGTTTTGTGCCTTAACCTCCAGGTGTTAAACACCCCCCCCCCCCCACACCCAGATGATGAAAGCGTGTACTATGTTTTGCAAAAAATAAGGGAATATCGTGTGATGGCCTTAAATTTGGTTTCCCCTTCCTGTGATAAAAGAAAATGTGAAAAGGCAGAAAAAAACTGTAAAATATTGAAAAATAGTATTATTGGGGAAGAGGTAATATTTGAAGAAGGAAAAAAAAAAAAAAAAAGGTTGTTCACTGGTGACGGAGAAGGTGGCGCACTAATGACTCATGTCACAGTATGAAGGGGGGGTCGGGGGGTGACGTGCACACAAGCCGTCGGTGCCTGTGACTTGTAAACAAAGCAAGAAAATGTGCGTATTTTTATTTTCCCCGTCGCGGTGTCGGACAAACCGCCCTCACCGGTCTCCTCCCGGTCCTCCAGCGGACGAGACGGTTCGGCCCTCTGGGTGGGGGAGGGGCTGCAGACCGTCTGAGGCGTTTATTTGTGGGTGGGTTTTTTTTTTTTTTTTTTTTTTTTTTTACGTCTCTGGCTGTTGTGCGACTGTACTGCGAGCGCGGATCTGTTGGGACGCACGCTAGGCTGGACTCGCCCAGAGAGAGAGAGGGGGGGGCGAGCGAGCAGGCCGGGAGGGACTGTGGCCTTAAAAGGAGCAGCAGCACGTGTGTCGTCCCCCCCGCCGCCGTCAGGCTCGTCCCGTCTCTCAGAACCATTGGCACTCAAACTACAGCCGGTCTATAATTATCACCTGTTTTTTTTTGGGGGGGGGGGGGGGGTCACTTCCTGTCCTCTTCTATCCTGCACAAGCGTTTAAACCCCTTTTGTGGGCATGTTGAGAGCGCCACCAGTTTGATTTCTTTCCCCCCCCCCCTAACCCATCAGTATCGGTTTCTAGCCGGCCGGCTATCAGCTGCCGGCCCGGCGCTGCGAGCGGAACATTCCAGCAGACGGCAGGTTGTCCGTCAGGACGGAGACCAGAAGTTCCGCCTGTGTTTATGCGAGTGGCGAGAGTCTCTTCTCCCCCCTGCAGCACCAGCGTCTCTTATCTGGCTGCCCCCCCCCCTCCTCCCCCTTTCCGCCTAGACACGGTGTTAAGTGGCCGGTCAGCGTGGCCTCCCCGCGGGTCACGACGCCATACGGGGGGGGCGCCGTGCTGAACTTTGGTTTGAGTTGTTTCCGTTTCGTTTTTTTAAGCGAGGCGCTGTGGCTCCGGCCCGACGGCACCAGCAGCTCGAGGGCCTTTTTCTTTAGAGCGTTTGTTTTTTTTTTAACGGCGACTGAAGGAAGGACGTTCACGCCGCCGTTATTAAAAAAACACCCACTTGGTTTTGTTTTCAGTCTCGTTGTCTGTTGTTGAAACTCGTCCTTCCTGTCTTTGTCTGACTCACCTTGTCTTTGAGCCACTGGCGGCCATGTTGACCTCAGTCTGACCCAGCCCCCCCCCCCCCCCCCCCCCCCCTTTGCTGTAATTGAATGTACTGCTCAGCATTTGTAGCTCCGGCACGATTCGTTTATGCCGACACTTTGGTCCCCATCCAAAGCGAAACCTAGTGGTGCACTGACGTGGTGGGGGGGGTCATCCAGCAGAGACCCCCGTACTAACGGAAGCACTTTAAGAGGCCTTGTTTTACTCCAAAAACCCACCCAGCTGGGACCGGATGTAAATACGCTAATGTGGTTCTCAGGGACATTGTGTGTGTGTGTCATTTATCTTTGAGGGCTTCGTTCTGCCCCCCTTCATGTTGTCTCTTCCCCCTCGTCTTATTGCCGTAGACGGCGTCTCGTGCTCAAACCGTCCTCATCGCTCACTGGTTGGCGATCATGTGATCATGTAGAACATTGGTTTAGTTTTTTTTTTAGGGAACAGCTGCACAGGATATCTAATCATTCCCCAGTTAGTTTTTTGCTCTGAGTGATGATGAATCGGAGCACGTAGAAGTCTAGCCCCCCCCCCCCCCCCCCCCCCCCCTTTATTCTTTCCACTGCGCGACATCAGACGACGTAACCAAGCCCGACGCGGCGTTGGTGTGGATGGCGGCGGTGGGATGCGAGTCCTCTGCGCTGGGGGGTGTTTGCGGGGCTGAATGAGCTGAATCATCGCGCAGAAACTCTTTGGTGAAAGAATAAAGGACAAAGTGGATTTTGCCTTTTTTTCCCCCCACTTTTCTTTTTACTCTGCTGTAAACTATCAATCCCGCCGCCTCTTCTCGCCTTCTGATCGCCCGGCTTTGTTCATCGTGCAGCGTGTTTTTCTTTTCTACACAGACGCCTGTAGATGATTCTTTACTGGGGGGCAGAGACACCGTTGGATTAGATAATCGGTGATGCTTCATCAAATCCTACACCTTCCTCTTCGTGTGTGTGTGTGTGTGTGTGTGTGTGTGTGTAAAGTTGGGGTAAAGAATGAAATGTGTCACATTACATATAATGTATATTTTTGAACTGGTTGATGCTTTTCTGTCGGCTTTGATTGTGACTACGAGTTTGATGGTTGCAGCATGATACGATTTCCTTTTTCAGGACTTTTACCTCACTTGAGTTTTTTTTTTCCTTTTTTGGATGGAAATGTACATCAGGACAAACCATGAATAAAGAATTAAATGCAACTCCATGTGTCTGCTGTTTGTGATCAAAGCGTGTGGGGCGGTTTTACCTGAAAAGGGATTAAATGTTTGACACGTTTACGGGCAAAATAATAATCACTTCTATACCACTAAATGCTGCTTATTACTTCCAAATATTTCAACTCGTGGTTCCTGCGTTCACCGCGTCCTAAATGCTCAAAACACTTGATCTAAAGTTATTTACCTAAAACCCGTCGCTAGTTTAACTTGTTTCATGTCATTGTTGCTCCTGAAGTCACAGCAGTGAACAAATAAAGTCCACTAATGTTTTCTTTTAACGTATTAAAGTCCTCTCCGTGACCTCATGAGCTGGAGGTCGCCGATGCAGCGGCGACTACCAGGGTTTAGTGCGGCGCCGCGTCGCCATGGGAACCGGAGCAGCAGGACAAATAAACGCTTCATAAACGGAGCCGAGTCCACAGAGCAGCAACCCGCTGAGGAATACGGCCTGTGGGGGGGGCGAGGGGTCGGCGTGGCACCTTCAAGGACTGTGCGGGGGGGGGGCACATTGTGTCTGTGGGTCATTTAAGGCCTCTTGTCTTTTAGCTTCTTCTGGATCCCACGTGTCACTTTGTCTCTGGGATCGTTTTGCCCCTTTTCGACTTGGTCATTTCTGTCTGTGGTCCCTTTGATATTGTGGACTTGTCATGGTCCTCTGAGCTTAATATGTCTCCTACAGGCCGGTGTGTCTCTGAGGGCCCCCCCGGACCCTGATTGACCTCTTGAGTAATCCATCGGAATAAACGCTTGATCCTCACAGGAGGGTCTTTCTGGTGGTCTCCCCGGCGTCTGCGGCGCTCCTCGTGTCTTCTGTCTCGGTGGCCCCTTTGAACGCCCTGTGGTTGCTGCCGCTGGCGCCTCCACGCTGAGCAGGAAGAGGAAGTCCGGGCCGTGGTGTTTCTGAGTATGTGGTTGGACGTGTGTGTGTGTGTGTGTTTTCCCCGTATTTACTCGCGTGAGATTCATCTTCTCACGGAGGGAGGTGATGGAGGTCGAGGGGCATCCGGCGAGACCTGGTGGCTCTTTGCGGGCTCCTCTTATCGACGCCACTGCTGCTCAGTGGAGGCGGGCGGTTTTACTACCACGGTTTGTAATGTTTGCAGTCAGGAGGCGTTCTGCAAACTTCACAACTTCACAACGTAAAAACACCAAACTTCCCCTTTAGGCCGTTGGCAGCTTGATTCTTCTGGCATTCAGTCCTTTTTCACTTCAGGCCACTTCCTTGTTCCTCGTGTGTGTCGTTAGCCGCTGCTTTCGTGTTTCGTTAATCTGTCGTACCCTTTGATCTGCGTTCACGTCAAACTTTTTAGTGTCTCTGTTCCTCTCGTTGAGTCGTCACCTGTTCCAGGTCTGCAAATGACTCGTTTCCTGAGCATCAAGGTGTCAACGCGGAGAAAAAGATGACTGGTTTCACAACCGCACAACCCCCAACGCACACACACACTCACACACTCACACTCTCCAGCACTGTCCGGGTCAAACAATGCTCCATTTCTGGAAAAATACTGATGCCGAAATGTAGAGAGAAGAGAGACAAAGGCCAGTTAACGTGGGGGGCAGTGGGAGGGGGGGGTATTTTTGAAAGAAAGAAAATGCGCCGTAATGTGTAGTTTCCACGTGTGCAAATAGCCGCCAACGTTGGTTTAACACGCAACGTGGTTGTGTTGATCAAACGTAGTCGTGTGGTTGTGTTGATCAAACGTAGTCGTGTGGTTGTGTTGATCAAACGTAACTAGTTGAGTTGTTCTCTGCAAAACTCCAAACTTGTGAAATATTTGTTTATGTACGAAGCAGCAACATTTACCGAGGGGGCGATTTATTTGTCTGTCAGAGTACTCGATCAGCACGTTTAGTCATTACACAACTGCGACGAGGGTTAAAACAACCACAAAGACACTTAAGAGGACAAAGAAAAGACACAAAGTACAATGAGAATACAAAGAGACATGAAGACATTGTAACGGAGCCATAAATACAACAAAAACCGAATCGCTGCAAAGCGGCACGACGGTACAAAGAAACCAAGACGACAAAGAGACACACAACTACGACAAAAGACACAAGCCGGCTAAAGAGACTGAGGGGGGAAAAAAAAACACACACAAAAAACGACAATAATACAAAGAGACACAAGACGCGTTGCTCCTCCTGCAGCCCGAAGGGAACTCATTTGTTGGGCAATTAACATGTGGAAAGTTTGCGGTAGTTGGGGGGGGGGTCACGGGGGCTGGGGGGTCTCGGGCGGCTCCAGAGAGGCCTCGTCAGACGCCCCCGGGGGCAACGTGCGGCGGCCCCCCCGGGGGCGTCTGTCCTCTCTCTCCTCTGCTGCTGATTACGTGTCCCGCGTGTTTTGTTTGCTCGTGCTGAAGATAACCGGCGGAGGAGGCGCGTCGGCGCGGAGCCCCGGGCCGCTTCTCCTGGCGGAGGACGAAGCGCGGCAACGCCACCGCAGGTCCGCACAGAGGGGAGCGTCCTGAGGGCCGAAGCTCCGGCTCCAAAGTCTCCAAAGAAAAGATTCCCCTCCAACCGAAGACACGCAACTCAAATGGAGCCATTTAACTCGACTTAAAAACCCTCCGGTCCGTGTTACAATGTACGAAAACACCGAGACCCCCCCCCCCCCCCCCTTATTGGAAGGTCGGTCCACCTTGGGGCCTCCATCACTGCTCCACCTGTGAAGGAAGCCGAGGAACGCTTACAAAACCCAGCGTGGGAAGATTGGCAGCTCGGGTAAACTGTCCATGCTACTCAGATCAACAAAGCTGCTCAAACATCCCCCCCTTCACCCTGCAGAGCCCCCAGAGGAGACACCCCCCCCCCCTTCACCCTGCAGAGCCCCCCCCCCCCCCGAGAAACAGGTGATGGGCGGAGAGCAGAGGGCCGACATGTGGCTGAAACAGAGAAAGACAGAGAAACAAATTCTGCATGTTTTCAGGTGCCTTTCTACGCACCAGTGAGTCGTTTCCCAGCACACACACACACACACACACACACACACACACACACACACACACATGGACTCCTGCACGGGCCAACCAGGTGTGCCCATTAAACACTACCAAGAGATGCAAAAATACACATAATAACTACGAAGAAACACAAAAAAACCTCACAAAATATACACAAAGGGACACAAAAGCACCACATGAGACACATCGTTTCCAACGTAGAGACAAAATGGGACCGAAGGAGACTCAAAACAATCAGAACGAGTGAGTTCAAACATTTACGCCTCTGCATGTCCAGGGTCCAGTTGTCTCCCCACCCACACACACACCCCCACACACACACACACACACACACACACACACACACACACACCAGCCTCTTTCGATCCATGTGGGACACACATCCGCGGGCCCTCAGTGGGTCGGCTTGTCGAGGACGCCCTCGTACATCTTACCAACACATTGATTTCATGTATCACGTGACACACGCGTGTGTGCGTGTCGGTGAGCACATGTTGCATGGAGCGTCTCTGACATGCTGTTCCCATCACATTCCTCTCGGGTGGAGGTCCTCTGATCGGCTTCCAGGCGGGTGAGGAACCGGTTGTGCCGCGTCACTCACATGGTGACACCGCGCAGAGGTCAGATGAGGTCAGATGAGGTCAGATGAGGTCAGATGAGGTCGGACGAGGTCGTCGTTTAAACTTCCTAACGAACCGCACAGTTTGACAAATACAACTTCACATTGTACAGGTTTCTATGCAGTAAAGTTCTTATAAGACTACTGTATATTCAATATGGAAAAAGGCTATGCTTTAAGGCGGGGCTTGTTGTGATTGACATGTTCTTATGCCCCGCCCCCTCCTTCCAACTGTTGTAACCACGCGAAGATGGCAACAACCTAATGGCCCAAACCAGACATTTCTTTTTCATACCTACCGATTAAATCTTACGTGTCATTAAAAAGTAATGAGGCGGACGTATAGAATGTAATTAAAGAAAAGAATGTTCTTCTTTTAACTTAAAGACACTTGTTGTTCGGCTCAATATGAGGAGGAACAAGCTCGACGGGTTATTTAACATCACAACCGGGGTTTCATTCTGCTGAGACGTGTCCTTGAACGTTGATGACATGAAAGCTACGCTCACATTTGATTGAGTGACACATTTTGACATTTGACACATTTCATTGCAGCCGGTCGGCGCGAGTGTGCGAGCGGTTGTGAACTGTGTGATCTTCCGCGCATGCAAAGCGCACTTATTGAAATACAACCAAGCAATAAATGTTACACATTTAATCTTCAGTTGTGCTCTGCTGGGGGGGGGGGAGCGTTTTGCATGATCCTTTCACACCGATTGTCCGTGTGACAGTCAGTCAAAAGAGGGAAACACGTATTCAGAGGGACGAAGTCGACGTGTATTCTGGTATCAACAGGCCACAGGCGTACTTTGTAGTACTAGTATCAGTACACAGCTGATCTGAGGTACTTTCACTGCACTCAGGATACGAAAGGCTCGGCATCCTGAGAACTCAATTATTCACCAGCAGAGCCACTGGGGAATATTCGTAGAAATCACTTATGTGGGGTTGGTGTGGTGCAGGGGTTGAGGGTGTGCTGGGAACCGCAAGGTTGGTGGTTTGAGCCCCGGCTGCCCCATGTTGAAGTGTCCCTGAGCAAGACACCAACCCCTAATTGCTCCTCGGGCAAAAATGTAATGTAAATGTAATCATATGGGTTAAAAATGTAGTCGCTTTGGATAAAGCATCAGCTAAATGACTCGTAGTTCTTGTAGTTGCTTGAGGATCTTCTTCTTTATTCTTCTAAAGTGAAAGTACTCAACCAGTACAGAATTACACACTGTTGGGGGGGAGAGCGAACACATGCTCTCTTTGAAACCCTGCCACATCTGGGCTGTTGATATGATACAGACCGCACAGTTCACCAACGCGCACACACACACACACACACACACACACACACACACACAGATGCTAGCTGGCTCGTGAACTGTTTGGTGATGAGATATTGCCTCCAGCTGAAGCAACATCTGCTCGGGTGGGTTTCCATATGGAATCTGTGTGTGATGTTTGTTGTACTGAGGTGGTTTTAGACCAGTTTGATGAAGACTGAAATACATTCACTCCACTTCTCTCTCGATTCATTCCCTCAGTAAACATCGTAAACATGAGTTTATGGTCTCAGCATGATGTTCATTTAGTAAATGATGGTCCATTCAGAGTCAAACAGACCGATGCTTTAGGGTGGAGCTACAGGCTGATTGACAGGTCTCTACTAGACCTTAGTGATGCTTTAGGGCGGAGCTACATGCCGATTGACAGGTCTCTAATAGACCTTATTGATGCTTTAGGGCGGAGCTACAAATGCCGATTGACAGGTCTCTAATAGACCTTAGTGATGCTTTAGGGCGGAGCTACAAATGCCGATTGACAGGTCTCTAATAGACCTTAGTGATGCTTTAGGGCGGAGCTACAAATGCCGATTGACAGGTCTCTAATAGACCTTAGTGATGCTTTAGGGCGGAGCTACATGCCGATTGACAGGTCTCTACTAGACCTTAGTGATGCTTTAGGGCGGAGCTACATGCCGATTGACAGGTCTCTAATAGACCTTAGTGATGCTTTAGGGCGGAGCTACAAATGCCGATTGACAGGTCTCTAATAGACCTTAGTGATGCTTTAGGGCGGAGCTACATGCCGATTGACAGGTCTCTAATAGACCTTAGTGACGCCCTAAAGCATCACCTGGGACTGTGATCCAGACTGTGACCTTGACCTCTACCGAACACACATTCCAACGGGTCAGACGACCTCCACGTGCACTCCAACGTGCACTCCAACGTTCCCCATCTGTTTTTTCTGCCCCGCTGCTGATTACAGACACGGACAGTTTTTGATCGTGTTGATCATCTGGAAATGTGACTTGTTCCGTGGCTCGAGGGCTTCCTCGATCCCGTCGAATTCTGAGCTTCAAAGGACACGTGGAGTCCAATAGACGTGAGCTCATTCCAGCCATGAAAAAACCCTCTTTGCATCCACACATGGAATCTGACCGTGTGCGTAAAAGTGTGTTTTTCTGTCCTCGGCTGGAAGTCTGCATCATCATGTGAGGCCGTTAAGCGGAGTTGGATTGAACGTGGGAACCTTCTGCTGTACGAGAGGCCGGCGGGTGCGTTCGTGTGATTCCCAGCACTTACCTCCCTGCTGTCATAGGCTAGCCGCGGTCATCGGCGAGGTGAGTGACGGGTTCCCTGCAGGTGTGTGAGAGGACGCGCTGACATGGATGGAAAGGTCTCTCATCGTTTTTCAACGCTGGCTTAAGAAGGCGCCTGATAACTCGTGTCCTTTGAGGTCCATGAAAGACGGATTGTCTCCTCCACTGTCTTTGATCCAGGTAGAACCAAAAGGGAGATTAAGGAGGCGAGCAGGTAGGTGGGAGGGTTTTTAATCAGCAGGTGTTCATCCTCCTTCTTCACCGGGTCCTGAAGGAGGAAAGACTCCGGGTTAGATGTCTGTCCTCCAGGTAGGATACACATCAGTAGTTAATTTACGTAATGATGCCAAAGATATGAAGATCTTTTTAAGAGTCGTAAAACCAGAAAGAAGCGGAAATGTAAATGCCACATATTTAAAATGTCGCTGAAGATATTCAATTCATTTTATTTTGAAGAGCCTAAATTTGCCTCAGAGGGTTTTACCGTCATCGCCGGTCCTGAAATAAAGAACCCTGCAAAGGGGAGAAGGAGTTTGTCCATAAGACGTCACAGCATGTAGGACATTCACATGTCAATTTCAATGAAGCTGCTGCTGTCGCTCTTTCTTCTGACCCGAGGAGGATCAGCTGCTGCAGGAGAACCTGCTCAGCAGCGTTCCTCTGGTGGGAACATCTTCTCTCATCACATTTCCGGGTCCCGATTTTTTTTGTTTCCTTTTCCTTGTTTACAACGTCCATTCAGCACATTTAAGATCATCCACTAACCACAATACCAGCCTTTCAGATGCCTCCTGTTCATTTATTATCATAGTACATTTATATCACAGAAGTATCATAAATCCCAATAAGTCATAGTACATTCCGTTGGTCTTTGATCTTCTCTGATGTAACATCTGTGTTTTGGATTTTTTTGTTTCCTTTTCCTTGTTTTCAGCACACGATCATTTGGCACATTTGACAAATCCTCTCATCCATTTATTTACCTCGCGTGGTGTGAATGGTCATAAAAAACAATCACAGACCTCATTATGAAAGTCAAATCATTGTTTGCCCCAAATATGATAAAGTCAAGTGAAGTCAGGTCAAGGTTTGACCTTCATCTGGATGAACAGCAGTTGTGTGTGTATGTATATATAGCATGTGCATGTATATATAGTAACGTATCTGGTTTTATTGCTGCAGAGAATTTGCTGGGTTTCCAGATGTTTGGTTCCAGCTGTTCAGCTGAACCGGAGGTGACCTTTGACCTTGAAACCAGAACACATGTTTGTGAATAAACTTCAACTGTAGCTCAAATGTAACAAACGTCACTGCTGGTTTGAAGAATAGAAAAAAACAAATGATCCACTTCTCAAAAGTTATATAATAATTTGGAAATTTAAGCTGAGTTTTAATGAGTAAACGGTTTTGAAAAGGACAAACAGGAAATGAAAAACTTTCAGACGAAAATCATTTTAATATGTGTGTAATAATATATATATATATACATATATATACATACATACATACATATACACACAATTTATTATGTATATAAAAAAACAGTAACCGTAAATGTAAATCATTAAATGAAAAAAGAAAACACACATTTCCAAAGTTTGGTTCTACTTTCTTACATTCCGACATAATCACAGATTGATTCTTTTCTTCCAATAATCAGCAGCTGCATTTATAACAATTGTCAAATTGAGGCTTCAGATGTGAATTTTCTTTGTAACGAACAAGTCGAGAACCTTTTACTCCACCAGGAATCATCTCAACGTTTCACAGGTTCGTTTATTAAAGAACTACAGCCATCGAGAGGAAAGTCCGGAATGGTTTAAAGACAGGTGAGAACACGCGTGTCAGGGACACATGTTACCTCACCTTAGTTACCCCCTTCTGGTTCGCCCACCCTTAAAGGGACAGTACACCCAAAAATCTATGGTGGCGATTATCAATGCAGATGGTTGCCGTGGCGATGTCTGGCTGTCCGCTCCACGTAAGAGCAGCAAAACGCAGACACTCAACATCTGGCACCTTTATATTAGACCTCTCTGCTAAATGCTTATTTCTTTGAACTAAGGGGTGAACTGTACCTTTTAAATAAAGAGTGAATACCAGAGGCAGCATTTCACACCATGTGACCTGAATAGACAGAAGACAGTAAGTCAGGAGGGAGAATATTGATTGTGGTTGACTGGTGTTGCTTTCTTGCATTAGACAGCTTCATTGTTCATCTCCCCAGTGGCTCAGGTGGCGTAAACTCTTCCTGTTGATTGATACGCAAAGTGTTTGTAGAGTGACGCAAAACAAGAACTTCTCCAACCTCATTTAAGTGAATACGGAAACATTGTGTGAGACGTGTTCTTCACAAGCAGCCGTCTATGTGCCCCCCCCCCCCCCCCCACCGGCTTCCAGTCTTCTGGATGCTGCACATCTTGCACGAGAGTGGGATCGATTTTAGCAGCAAACTCCAGAAGAGGAAGCAAATAAGTCGTGAAAAATGGACAAGTATTTCTTGCTAAATGGGTTGAACGCAACTTACAATGTATGAATGTATGTTAACACGATGCGGAGCTAACCGGGGCGTCACAGAAAGAGACCCAGCGGACATCCGGTCGGAACCACGTCGCCCTGCTTGTTTAGGACGATCTTCATATTGAGGGAACCTCTGAATGAGAAGCATTTCTAAATCCAGAAACCATTAGCAGGTCCACAAATAGCCGGTGGCCAGAGAGCGACCGCTCAGCCTGAGACTGACGTATGAAGGAGAGCCCCCCCCCCCCTCCATGAAAGGTCAGAGCCTTTAAGAGGAGGTCAAGACTTCACATCCAGACGGGGACGACGTGTCCGTAGAAAAGGTCCCAGCGTCCTGTCACAGGCCGGAGGACTGAGGGCGGCGGAACGGTCCGTTCACCTGCGGGAGGGGGGGGGGGGGGGGGGGGGGGGGCTACATCTTTAAACATCCAGAAGGTCATGATTTCATTGAATATGATGCATTCATGTAGCTCAAACCAGCCGACTAAAGACTGGTTTAGAATAACAAACTGACTACAGTAAGATTGGAAGGAGAACCGGTACTTGGAATGCCGACAGGACAGAGTGTCACAGCGCTGACATAATTACTCTTTAATGACTAATTCAATAAAATGACACACCTCACCTACTCTGTGGGATAACAGTGGTGGAAAGAAAGTAATTACAGTTATTACCAGTCACCGTGACAACCAGACTAAAGCTTATAAAAGAAACTAAATATTCGTTGGACAGAACAGGGCTGTTTTTTGTGTTTTTGTCCCTTTTAGAACGGGAGCCTTTCAGTTGTTTTTTATCTTTTCAACCCAACGAGTTCACACGTAACTCGAGCTCACCTGTTCTTCTCTCACGCTGCTTATTAGCGTTGTATAACACACACACACACACACACACACACACACACACACACACACACACACACACACACACACACACACACACACACACACACACACACACACACACACACACACACACACACACACACACACACACACACACACACACACAGGCGTTTGATGAATAGAGTTTAGGATTAAAAGGCGTAAACACGCTTCAGATTTTAAATTTGGGAGGTTTCCATTGAAAGATGATAACTGGAGAGAGAAAATTAGAATGTTGCTTTCAACTTGAAAGACATTTCAAGTTGAAATATATAGATCTCTATGTTTTAGGCCTAATGTAATATATACACACATGAGTCATTGATACGTTAATATCCATATTTCTGAGGTAAAACAAAGGCCCACCAGGGAGGAGGAGGAGGATCAACCAGGAGACAACCTCCGGTTCAGAGTGAAGTTAAAGCCACTGACCAGCAGGGGGCGACTCCTCTGCTCCCATAGACGTCTATGAGGAAATGACTCTACTTCTCTGTAGTGACCAGCAGGGGGCGACTCCTCTGCTCCCATAGACGTCTATGAGGAAATGACTCTACTTCTCTGTAGTGACCAGCAGGGGGCGACTCCTCTGCTCCCATAGACGTCTATGAGGAAATGACTCTACTTCTCTGTAGTGACCAGCAGGGGGCGACTCCTCTGCTCCCATAGACGTCTATGAGGAAATGACTACTTCTCTGTAGTGACCAGCAGGGGGCGACTCCTCTGCTCCCATAGACGTCTATGAGGAAATGACTCTACTTCTCTGTAGTGACCAGCAGGGGGCGACTCCTCTGCTCCCATAGACGTCTATGAGGAAATGACTCTACTTCTCTGTAGTGACCAGCAGGGGGCGACTCCTCTGCTCCCATAGACGTCTATGAGGAAATGACTCTACTTCTCTGTAGTGACCAGCAGGGGGCGACTCTTCTGCTCCCATAGACGTCTATGAGGAAATGACTCTACTTCTCTCTTGATTTATTCCCTCAGTAAACATTGTAAACATGAGTTTATGGTCTTCTTCTGTTCAGCATCATATTCACTTCACTTTGCAAATGATGGTCCACGAGTCAAACCCACCAAAAAGGTAGCATTAGACGAGGGCGGGGCTGCTGTGATTGACAGGTCTCTCTTCCAGAGGCGGTCATTGAGGGCGCTTACCCGGGCGTCGTACTCCAGCACAAACGGAGGAATGTCGATCTGCTCGGGTTTGATGTAGGTGAAGAGCTGCTGCAGGTTGTCCAGGTAGCGCACCTTGTCCTTCAACCCGGACACACTGAAGGTGGTGAAGAACCACGTGGACACCTGGAGGCGAGAGGGCGGATTGCAGATGTGATCTGGATGAACCGACCAACACACGGCTGTAGAGCGGAGGAACCAGAGGAACCTTTAACGAGGAGGGGGTTCCAGCAAAGAACCGGACACAAACCAGAAAGCTCCACCTATCAATCTAATCATAGGAACTTTAGTCCCTGATCAATGCAGGTTTTGTTGCACAATGAGTTTACCGTCAAGGAGCAATATGTGAAGTAAGTCATAATTAGTTTTGTGTCTAAGTGATAAAACTTTTGCAAATGCTTTAATGGAGGAAGATATCAAAAGTGAATCTACGGGAAGGCGTCTCCGCTGTGATACACGACGAAGTCTTAAAATACATCCGAAAATATGACTTCAGGCGGTTTTCATACGAATGTTCCCACATTGACAACATAAGCTGAAGAGAGAAAAGTGGGCGGAGCAGCGCGAGGTGGATATTGATTTATTGAGGATCAATGAATCAATGCCCTTACCTTAGAGCGAAATGATGGATGTACGAAGTAGAAGGCCTTTAGATTCTTCTTAAACCTGAAACACACAAACAGAGAGAACACTTGGCACGTCAGTGAAATGCAGCATCAGGTCATCTAGGCTCTCCTTGCTGCAAGATCTTCATCCTGCAGCCCACAGACACGATGCTGCACCAGGGTGGGATCCGTTATCTCCCTATTTCTACTTGTCAGAAGATCCCTAAAAGACGATAAACAGCTGTAGCCAGAAGCAGATGTGTGCATGCGTCAGAGCTCTGCTATTACAACACAGGACTGTTGCATTGTGGGACATGAACATGGGCACTTTGTCTGATCTGCACTATATATTGTTTGGTCCTATTGAAGGGGGGGGGGGTCATTAGTAGTGTAAAACACACAGCAAGATCGCCCACAATTACAGCCACATCTTTATTTCCTTTAAGGCCTTTGGCCTCTACAGATGTTTCTGTAATCTTCTTCTGTAGTGGGCAGATGTGCTCAGTTGATGCTCCAATGACCCCATCAGAGGTCACGATCACCTCAGCGGAAGGGGGGGGGGGGGGGTCCGGAGATGGGACGAGAGGCTTCACCGGCAGAGACGGAATCGGAAGCAGAGGGTTTGACCGATGCTGATGTTGTTCTTCTTCCCTTCAATGAGAGCTCCTGGAACACGGATGCTAACGGAATAACGGGTTTCACCGACGCGCTGATGGTACAGAGCGCATTGGGGGAGGAGGCGCCGGCCCCTCAGCACAGCCTGCCTACACATTACTTCATCATCTAGAACTCGATCATTCAGAAGAAGCAGGGATGTGTCGCTCGTCTGCGGGCAGCAGTGCGGGCTGGACGGGGTTCCCCCCTCTTGCCACGAAAAGGGGAAGTTGAATGAGGGCGTCTTGGTTGCCGTGACGCTCTCCAATTCCTCCACACGACTCATCGATGAAAAGGACAGCGTTGCCTCGTCGGAGGGTTAAGGGGGTGTGGCCAAACCGAGCGAATGAGAGAGGGTTGAAAGGTGCTCGGAGTTCCCCTCTGACTCGGGAAACTTGTTCAGTTGCGATTACAAGAAAGACAAACGTTCTCTTTACGCAGGTACAAAAAATACTAAATGATTTTCTAGTTTCGATGTAAAATGCACAAGTTCATCACAGACTCGTGGTTCCTCCTCTGACCGCCGCCTGAAACCGAAAACCAGGGGAGGGAATCAGGTTTTTTAACCCATGGTGTCCTGCTCAGGGACACTTGGACACGCGCCACGAATTATATTATGAATATTTGTGCCCATGACGTAATATCGACACAGGCCTCGAAAGTCTGTTGTTGTTTAGATTTTTCTTTTAGAGCTTCCCCGTTTCTAGTCCTTTATCACGTTGTATGATTCACCTCTTACTTCCCTCTTTACACGCCGGGCCTTTTTTTTAGCGTATAAATATGGTTATCTGTACTTTTCACTACATTTTCCCTGATGAGAACTAAAGTTGTGTCCCCCGGTGTCCTCTTCCTCACTGCCATTCTTTGACCGAATTTAAAAAAAAGAAATCGTCATTGAAAGGGATCATCAAACAAAAGCGCTTCACAGCTGGTTTTTCTTTCCCAGAGGCAGGAACGCGGCGTTCTAATGAACTCTGAGGACCGCGTCCACTTCTGTTCCATCCCAATCAAGATGTCAAAAACATGTGGTGCTGTCATCCAAAATGACAAGTCCATGTAAAGCTATGAAATGCATTTGGTGTTAAAGTTTGGAATATCAGCCTTTTTTCTGGTGACGTCCTGCTGCGGTGACACTTAAATAGGAAATATCTAGAGTGTAACTGAGGTTCTACCAGTACGAGAAGGACCAGCGCAGGAGGAGGGAGACGAGGTTCTTGATAGCTTAGAAATACGCAGCGCCGTGAGACATTTTGTACACAAATACTGTAAAAAACCAGAGAACTCACACTTCACTGCATCCTCCATGATAGAGACCTGAGACCTGTCAATCAGCGCGTAGCCCCGCCCCAAAGCGCCCTGCTTTATGGTCTATTAGAGACCTGTCAATCAGCGTGTAGCCCCGCCCCAAAGCACCCTGCTTTATGGTCTATAAGAGACCTGTCACTCAGCGTGTAGCCCCGCCCCAAAGCACCCTGCTTTATGGTCTATTAGAGACCTGTCACTCAGCGTGTAGCCCCGCCCCAAAGCTCCCTGCTTTATGGTCTATTAGAGACCTGTCACTCAGCGTGTAGCCCCGCCTCAAAGCGCCCTGCTTTATGGTCTGGTAACAAAAAACGGAATATCCCCCCCCCCCCCCTCCCGAGGCTTATTACGGCGTGGAGGTAAACGTGTCGGACTGACTTGGCGTCCACGATGTCGTAGAGGTTCTTGAGGAAGTCGGAGTCCAGGTGGTTGTGCTCTCCGGTCAGCGTGTGGAAGTAAACCATCACGTACTCCTTCACCGGGATGTGGTCCATGACGTGGATGAAGTACAGCAGCGCCTGCGAGCGTGCACACACACACACACACACACACACACACACACACACACGTCAAACGTCAAAGACATGAACGAACACGTGCACAAAGATTTAATGTAACTTCAACAAAAGCGTTTTATTTTGAAATACGCATCGTGTCATTTTACCTTTTCAATGTCGATGACGGTCACCGGGATGTTTCGTCCCACCAGAACCATCACTGTCCTGCCACACGTGTCCACACCTGGGGGACACACAAAATGAGACAATAAGATTTCACTGTGGGGTCTGAAAACTTATTTAGAAATTGTACAGAATATTTATTACTCTACTCTAATTAATTTATTCTACAGAAAGAAGAAACCCACATATTTGGGACATAAAACCTCCATTTCAAGTAAATCAGTTAGTTAAAGTTCCTTCAAACCTCCAACCAGTTGTTGATTAAGTGCCTAAAATTATTGTCTTTATGATCAGTTAAATTCTTTGGTTTATGCTCCTCATGTTTAATGCGATTCTTCTATTGGATGCATTTAGTTTTTTGACTTTTCGTTGAACAAAACTATGTGATGCACATTTGGGTTTTTTTGCCTTCAGTTCAGTAAATATCTCAGTCACCACGTTGGTGAATTCCAAAAAGCAGCCTTTGATGTGTCAGCGTTTAGTTCACTGCGCCGCTTTAAAGAACCCGTCGACACAAAGGAAAGTGACGACCTGTCGTCGCCGTGACAACGGCTCCTCCCCATCGCTGACTTTTTATTCTCACGTTGCCGTTTTATTCCTTTATTTATTGGTCTCTCTGGTGAATCCGATCATTTCAACTAAAAACAAACATCCGTCATCATGTTTGTTACACTCGGTTCTTTTATCGCACAGACGCACTTCAGATGTTTCCATGCTTGATTTTTGTCCAACATTCTGTTCCCGGTTTGAACTCTAGGTCTGATTCAAACAATAATTCATTGCTAATTAATTTCTTACATCGGAAATGAAAGACAAGCTTTGATAGATCTTCAAACACCATCTTTTAGGCGATGAGCCTCTTTTTAATAAGAATAAATGGTCAGAACAGAAACAGAACTGAAGCTTCTCGTCGTCTTCTGAATGAGACGCGTCGAGAAGAAACAAATACTTTCAGAATCAGATTCTCTGCTTTTGATTGTTAAACATTGGTCACGGTAGTTTAAGGCCATTTATTCTCTCTAATTTGAGTTGAATATTGTTGATATTCAAATGAAACATTCTTAAATGTTAGAAATGCCTCATCTTTTAAAATATGTAATACTTGCATGTTATGTTATATATTTAAATATATAAATAAGACTTGTTTCACTCCATGAATCGGAAAACACTGACCGACACAAATGTATTTATGATTACATTTACTATGATTAATCTCTTAATGATTTAGAAACAAACCCCTCTGTAGAACCTCCAGCATCCAGAGAGGAGTGAAGCTTGATCACAGTGAGAACAAACTCAAGTTTAGTCACATGACCGACATTTTGAAGAGGGCCAAAGAATTAAAGAGTTGAAATGTGAAACTAGGAGGAGGGACTAAATTAGTCACAAAAACAATAAAATGTCAATTTAGAGGTTTTCTTTTCACTGAATTGATCCACGCATTACAAAACAGTGTGTTTGCGCATTTGAGCAAGCTGACCTTTGAACCCTATAACAGAATGACTGGAGCTAAACTGTGGAGCAACATCGCCACCTGCTGGTGACGGTCATCACACCGCCGAACATCTGAGACGCTGAAAGTCTATGGCTGCACCACAGTTGTGCTCACTGACTATTTATCTCCCGCGGCGTCACACGTACCGGTTTGATACAAGGCCTTCAGCGCGGCGACGTCGGACAGATCCTCGGCCCTCGCCCGACACAGCCAGCGGCCGTAGCTGCAGGAGAGGAACACCGAGCTTCAGCTTATGGTTCATGGGGCAAGAGAAGAGGTGCAGAGAAGTGACCCTACGTGGACCGAGGCGTGATGTAGAGACTCTGGTAGAGACCTGTCAATCACTGTGTAGTCCCGCCCTAAAGCCCCCCTGTTTATGGTCTGTTTGACTCTACATGGACCATAATTTAATGAATGAACATCATGGTGTATTAAAGAAGACTTGAAACTAGAGACTGAGACCATAAACTCATGTTTACAATGTTTACTGAGGGAATAAATCAAGAGAGAAGTAGAGTCATTTCCTCATAGACGTCTATGGGAGCAGAGGAGTCGCCCCCTGCTGGTCACTACAGAGAAGTAGAGTCATTTCCTCCTAGACGTCTATGGGAGCAGAGGAGTCGCCCCCTGCTGGTCACTACAGAGAAGTAGAGTCATTTCCTCATAGACGTCTATGGGAGCAGAGGAGTCGCCCCCTGCTGGTCACTACAGAGAAGTAGAGTCATTTCCTCATAGACGTCTATGGGAGCAGAGGAGTCGCCCCCTGCTGGTCACTACAGAGAAGTAGAGTCATTTCCTCCTAGACGTCTATGGGAGCAGAGGAGTCGCCCCCTGCTGGTCACTACAGAGAAGTAGAGTCATTTCCTCATAGACGTCTATGGGAGCAGAGGAGTCGCCCCCTGCTGGTCACTACAGAGAAGTAGAGTCATTTCCTCATAGACGTCTATGGGAGCAGAGGAGTCGCCCCCTTGCTGGTCACTACAGAGAAGTAGAGTCATTTCCTCATAGACGTCTATGGGAGCAGAGGAGTCGCCCCCTGCTGGTCACTACAGAGAAGTAGAGTCATTTCCTCATAGACGTCTATGGGAGCAGAGGAGTCGCCCCCTGCTGGTCACTACAGAGAAGTAGAGTCATTTCCTCATAGACGTCTATGGGAGCAGAGGAGTCGCCCCCTGCTGGTCACTACAGAGAAGTAGAGTCATTTCCTCATAGACGTCTATGGGAGCAGAGGAGTCGCCCCCTGCTGGTCACTACAGAGAAGTAGAGTCATTTCCTCATAGACGTCTATGGGAGCAGAGGAGTCGCCCCCTGCTGGTCACTACAGAGAAGTAGAGTCATTTCCTCATAGACGTCTATGGGAGCAGAGGAGTCGCCCCCTGCTGGTCACTACAGAGAAGTAGAGTCATTTCCTCATAGACGTCTATGGGAGCAGAGGAGTCGCCCCCTGCTGGTCACTACAGAGAAGTAGAGTCATTTCCTCATAGACGTCTATGGGAGCAGAGGAGTCGCCCCCTGCTGGTCACTACAGAGAAGTAGAGTCATTTCCTCATAGACGTCTATGGGAGCAGAGGAGTCGCCCCCTGCTGGTCACTACAGAGAAGTAGAGTCATTTCCTCATAGACGTCTATGGGAACAGAGGAGTCGCCCCCTGCTGGTCACTACAGAGAAGTAGAGTCATTTCCTCATAGACGTCTATGGGAGCAGAGGAGTCGCCCCCTGCTGGTCAGTAGTGACTATTCATGTTCATGTCAATGAATGAATAACATTTCATCGATCCCCACCCCTCTTACTTCCTCTGGTGTTGTTTCAAGATGGCCGCCTCTGACATCTGGCCTTGCAGGATCAGTTTCCGCTGTTTGTCCACGTCTCCCTCCATCCGGGCAAAAGCGTGGTTGCCCACCTGACCGAGGTCCGACTTGAGACTCTCCTCTTCAGAATCCTCTACACACACAAACAAACACACGTTTGATAGACATCTATGGCTTTAATGGGCTTGTTGGAGGATCAGACACAACAGCTATGGTTCGATGGAAATGCTCCCTAATCGGCCTCATCTCGTGTTTATTTATTTCATTGATGCTAAATGATCTGCGAGCATGACACTCTGATTTTAGAAGTATTCTTGTTTCTCATCCCAGAAAAACACCTGCATGTCCGTACACGTGTCCCCACATCTCCTCCACACGCGTGTCCGTCGGCGTGTTTACACCAGCGTGTTGTTACTGCGTTGCACTCACAGGCAGCCAGTAAATATTATGCTGGACCGGCAGGTCAATGGAGGCCGAGGGGCTGGAACCCGCTAACACGAGGGCTGCTGTCACGTTCACAAGCCTCTTTCGCCTGACAATAACGTTTAAGACAAAAGCGTCCTTTTCCTTCGTTTTATCTCCATGGAACTGAGCCCAGTAGTGCACATGGAGGCGTGAGAGGGTTTATGCTCCTCCCACAGACTGCACACGAGAAGTGGACTTTAAGTCATCCATTGGTTTGTGGACTGATGTTTGCCGTTCGGACTGAGGGGGTGCGTCCGGATACCTGTCAGTCAGCGTGTAGCCCCGCCCTAAAGCGTCCCCTGCTCTGTGGCCGGTTTGACTCAACATGGACCATAATCTACTAAATGAACATCACGCTGTACTGAAGACGACGTGAAACTAGAGACTGAGTCCATAAACTCATGTTTACAAGGTTTACTGAGGGAATAAATCAAGGGAGAAGTAGAGTCATTTACAGACAGACTTCTATTCTGTAAAAAGCATCATATGATGAAGTTGAGGCTTTTTTTGCTTCTCACGGCTTCCTTTCATTTCAAAAGGTCCTTGCATGGGATGTGGACAAATTACAAGTTCAAATTCCTCTTGATTACCTGACTGGGCGACAAATGGTGACCGACCGGTGATTCGGTCTGTCAAAACATTTGGAACTCTCTGTGTAAGAATGTCACTTAAACTGCGAAAGAACAAATGTCACTCGTCACTTTGTCACTTGTTCGATTGTGCACTTTATGTTTAATATTTTTTAAACTTTTTAAATACTTTACATTTTTAACTTTAACTTTATTCCCTTGTTTTCTACTAACCCATAGCCTTATTCTACTAAGCCACTGCATTAGCATTTTACTTTATTTTATTACTGCTGTCTTGTTGTCTATTGTTACACTGTCTGTCACGCACCAACCGCCAAGACAAATTCCTTGTATGTTTGACATATTTTGGCAATAAATGTTTCCTGGTTCCTGAAAAGGTTTCTGTGTGTGGGAGTGAGGAAATAATGCAGCGGAAATAAAAAATAAATTACGCATGTGTGACTCTTACAGGCACATCAGCTGCTCTTGGACCCTTTTTTTTATTGACACAAGGAAAATTCAATTGCTTAGTTAATTAATTAAATGTCAACCCCGCGGCAAAAAAATTTAAATAAAACATCCTACCTTTAATAAAAAGATAGCTGCCATGAAGTGAAGCACATTACGAGCCGTTCCTAATGACAGGATTTATAAATATATAGACAGAAACTAAAATATATCAAATAAAGGCACGAGTACCTTCCAGGGTGCCGGGTTTCTCTGCGATGCGGATCTGTCTCTCCGGGACGACGGGCTCCCCCTCGGAGTTGCCGATGTCGCCTGGGAGGAGAGGAAGGAAGGCCTTCTCCTCCTCCTCGGAGCGAGGGAAGTACAGAGGGAGGAGCTTCCTGTACACCGGCTGCGAGGACACACAAAACAGATTCACGCCGATGACCCGAACATACAAAAGAAGGTGGAACAATGGATTCAAATACGTCACTGAAACGAATTCAAGCGCGGTTGCGGTGTTTGGGAAGTGGCACACACCTCCTCCGCGTCCGACACGGCGAACACAACGGCCTCCAGGCGGTTCCCGTGGTTCTCCAGGAACCTGCGCACCGTTCCTGTTAACGCGCAGACACACACCCGCTACCTGACATATTACCACAATTAAAAGAGCATCTATCATGAAACCTTTGTCACGAGTTCCAAATGTCTGCTGGTTTCCAAAAGTCAGACAATCACAAACCGACCCATTTATAAATGTAGTCTCGTGGCTTTGAGGAAGGTAACAGCTGCGGAGTGTGTGCGTGTGTTTAAAGAAGCGAGTGTAACAGGTGTGCGTCTCACTGAAGGCGATGTGTGTGGCGTCCTCCAGCGGGTATCCTCTTTTGGTCGTGCTCACCACACAGAAGCCGACGGACGCCATCGACTGCTCTCTGAGGGAAGAGAGCGGAAAAAAACAAGCCATCACGCACACAACAACACGCACACACAAACCTCCAAAGACAGAAAAACGTCCCCGGTTGATTCTTAGGTGTCTATTAAATATGTAAATCGAATTGCAACCTTTGGTGAATTCAGGAGAAATCTACAGACCTAAATTCACCAAAGTAGTAGAAGTAAACATCTTAATTTCATCAGTCTGAAAGAACTCCTCTGTGGAACAGAGCCGGTGGGTTCCGGTGGGTTCCGGTGGGTTCTTACGCGGCCAGCTGCATGGTGTTCCTGTAGCAGCTGTACAGCGAGCTCTCCGCCGCCGTGCGGTACTTGGATTTGAACTTTGGCCCCACCGTGTGGACGATGAATCGCGCCGCCAGGTTGAAGCCTTTGGTCAGCTTGGCCTCGCCGGTCCGGCACCCTGCACGAAAACACACGCGACATTACGGGATGAGATTCACGCCTGACGTGTTACGCGCCAGAAGAAGACTGAAGAAAAAAGGGTTATTTAATTTAATTTAATTCTAAATAAAGTCAATAAGAAGATCGGTTTGAAAAAGGAGCTGGTAGAATTAAATACATCTTTCTAAAATTTGATACTTTTTCTAACCCCGCCTCCTTCGGGTCTAACTCCGCCTCCGGCTCCTCCCCCGTACCTTTGAGTTTGAGCAGCTCGTCCCGGAGCTCGGGTCCGGCCTGCTGGTGCACGCTGTCGGAGACGGGGTTCTTGTCGCTCAGCGACTCGTTGCTGGTGTTCACGATGGCGGTGCAGTTCAGCAGCGCGATGTCACCTCGGCTGTAATGTGCAGACCAAAAAAAAAAAAAAAGAAGATTGATCCGGATATCTAATGTTTCCACGCACATTTTAAGGCCAGTGAATGATTCTTATGCAATAGTTTTATGTTCATCGTTGTGTTCTCGTCAATGTTTTTTTACTCTCTTGAAGAGAAGATCTGAAAGTCTTCACAGAGAAAACAAATGCAAATGGAATCAAGCTACAATATGAATTTCCACCATATTTAATACACTTTTGGATAAAGGAATTGTGGATTTCATCATTTAATATGAATAAATCTGTGTCTCTATGTAATGCTTCATTAACTAGTTCAGTGTTTTTATTGCACTAAATCGCCAAATGTCAGCAAAGCCGCCTCATTGAAATATCCGAACCGCGACTTTGTGACTGCACACATTCATCATTTATATTTCACTTTGGTTGTAAAAAGGTCACATGCACAATAAAACAAAAAGGTAAACACACGGGGCGTTTATATCCCAACCGAGCGTCCCTCCATCCTTGGCAAGTGGTTTAAATAAATAAAATAAAAATCAGTTACACCCTTGTAGCATGTTAAATCATGCTAGTTGTGTAATAAGCCATTTATCTTTCAAGAATCCTTCCATTCAACTGTCAAGAGAGCAAACGCATAAACATAATATGAGGAAAAGCGAATGAAGCTGATTTGCATCAGCTGGTTTGCACACAATAAACTTAAATAACTTAAGTCTAAGGTATCGGATCAGGGCAGAGAAAGAGTTTAAAGCATCAGAGATGCTCGCCGCCACAAGCTGCAGGAATGTGCAGAACAAGGCGCTCACAGAGGAACGCCACGGTCACAGGTTCCTGCACAAAGGGGATTTGTGTGTGTGTGTGTGGGGGGGGGGGGTAGAACACGTGAAGAGACGAAACCCACAAAAAGAGTTGCTCTCTGCTCCTTTCAATAATCAACAGAGTAGCATTCACTCTTTGTAAGGAAGCGGACCCGGACTCCACTTCCAGGTCAAAGGGCACACGAGGAAAGCTGAAGCGCGTGGTGGTCAGAAGGACGACTCAGAGACGTCAGCATCTAGCCTGGATCACTTTACAGCGTAACGACCAAGCACGTATTCACGAGAGCCCCACCTCAGCGTCAGAGTAGTTCTGATGACATTTGGCTTCACGCCTGAAATATGGAAACAATAAAGATTTGACGAGCTGCCGTATGAGGTGACGTCGCCACGGACACGCTGCTCCTCAGTGGAAGATCAAACTCTTTACTCTGCATGAAAGAGGCTCTCATTCTACACAGGTGCTGGTTCTCTCTGGCCTCCCGTTCCCCCCCCAGCGGGACGTCCTGGGTCTCCAGAGAGGAGACCCTTCCCACTGCCGCCTGCTTCCATCCCAGCAAAAACAGATCCGTCGCCGGCAGCAACAGAGTGAAGGAAGCGGCGTGTGACTCACAAGAGGATGATCTTGCGGTTGATGTCGGCTCTGAAGGGGAAGGGCGAGGGGAAGACCTCCTGGCCGAGCAGGCTGTCCCTCCGGTCCAGCGGCGTCTCCTCCTCGTCTCCCAGCTGCTGCTGCCAGGTGGGGAGCGTCTGGATGTCCACGAACTGGGAGCGAGCGCCCAGAGGGTCCATCCCGCCGCCGGCTGCTCGATGCGGAAACCAGAAGGTCGGTCACTCGTGTGGTGACGGAGGTTCCTCTCAGGACGCCGTGACGGAGGTTCCCCTCAGGACGCCGTGACGGAGGTTCCCCTCAGGACGCCGTGACGGAGGTTCCCCTCAGGACGCCGTGACGGAGGTTCCTCTCAGGACGCCGTGACGCTAATCAATGAACAAATTAGTTCCACTGCTTCAACGGCATTCATCTTATTTTCATTATTAATCACTTTTATCAATAAAATGTCAGAGAAATAAATCCAATTCTCCTTCTAGATTTAATTTAAAAGGTCTTACCAGCCATCTGAATAATTAAAAGAAAAACATTGATTAAATAGACTGAATAATAACTGAAATAATTTGATGATTTGACACTTTCCTCTTGGTTTTATCATTCTAAGTTAAAAATTAATCAATAAACAGCAACAATTCTGATATTTCAAACAATTCAAAAATTATGAATCAAGGATAAATGTGAAACATTTACGCCTCGTAATTACATTATTTGGTTCTTTCCTTCACTATGCATCAACTTAAATAAAAAAATAGGTTTAATGTTGTTCTAAAGGGAACAATATGTATATATTTGTGAATATAATTGTAAGTTTAACTATAATCCATCTTTAAATTAAGAAACCAGGATGTTTCCCTAAAACGTGACGCTTTATTTCGTTTCCTACATTTACTGCTTTTAAGACAACCACACATTCATTTAATGTGTTCACCACTGTGCTTTAACATCTGCATTATATTGAATAAACCAAAAAACAGCAATAACGAGCTAAATAAGAAGCTGCTGACACAACAGAACTCCCCCGTCTTCCTAAACACATTATCCACGACACAATATTTGCTTTATATTCCGATTAAAACAGTAGTTTGACCCCTTTTTTCAGCTAAATCAGCAGTTAACTGTGACCCACCTCGCCAGTTGAATTTCCTCCAGGCAGTTGAGGCGAAAAATAGAAACTTAAAATGATCAATAAGTCCGGACACGACAGCGTGTGGACTCAGGAGATATTTCCCTCCTCATGGGATCGCATACTAACGCAGAGCTGTTGCCAAAGCGGTCAGAAATTCAGTGTAAAAGTCGGTTTTACTCAGTTAGCCAGTAAGCTAGGTGCCGCTTGCTGCAGAGTGAAGCTAACTGGAGGAACGGCAGCAGCATCCGGCTGTGACTTTCAGAATAAAGGTTCGTGGGCTTTTATCTCTTGATTGTGCAATGAAATGCTTGAAGTGGAAATATGAACAGCAAGAATACTGCATACAACAGAGGCAGTATAGTATGCACTGTAACATAGATGAATGTACAAGGCGGAAAATGAACAAAAACTAAGGTAAAAGACCTCCATATTAGAAGAAATACTAAGAAACATATATGTTTCATAAATGGACGCAAAATGTGTTCAATTAAACATAAAAGTGCACTGTTTAATGAATGTAAAGATGCTGATAGTGTCAAATAACCATTTTGTTTTTATTGTGGTTATTTATAATATTTCCTCGTTATTTACATTCTGATAAACCAATAAACCAAAGCAAATTGACAATAAACCTTTATTTTGTAGGGCCCCAACAAGAAACATTTCGCTGTGTCTTTTACGCTTGACGCACCTTTGCAGTTTCTGATCAGCTGACTAATAAGCTAAAAACGCTTCCGCTGTGGTCGTTGAGGGTCTCGTGAGTCGCTGCATTTGTCTATGAGCTAAACGTGACATTATGGAGCTAAACGAAAATAAAACAGATTTTTTTTTACCTGCAATAAAATCTACTTTATTTCCTAATTTTGTTTCAGAAGCAGTAAAATCTTTGACAAATGTCTTGTCGTGTGTGACTGTTTTTGTTGGCAAGCTCAGGCAAAAGCAAAAGAAGACGATCGAGCAAAGAAAAAACAGAAACGCTTTTATTCCAGTCAGTAAAGCTGAAACGATGAAACAGTATTTTATTGTAGTATATTTTATTGTTATTGTAAATGTATTTCAAAAAGCCAATGGTATTAACACCACACATGTTTTTATTAGGATTTTATTATTATTATATTATTAGTAATAACTTTTGTTTGGACAATACAAATATTAAAAAAGATCAAACCATCACTAAAGAAAATTAACTTAAATTATTTTGACCTCCACCGGCAGCACTGGATTCTTAATTATATAGGATAATAATTAAACAGTTACAGAGAACATTGGAATACTTTACGTACGTGTTCATGATTATATACTTCTTCTTTTAAGATTGTATTTTATGTTTAGAATTCACCTCGTAACAGAGTATTTTTACAGTGTGATAGCAGTACTTTTACTTCACTCAAGGATGCGACTACGTCCTCCACAGCGCTCACTGTTAGTATCGATGTTCGTGCGATCGACTGGTTGGGTCTGAAGCAGCGGCGGAGCGGAGGCAACACAACGCAAGTGAAGCTAGCGGCCGCAATTCTGAGGTAAGAGGAGAAAATTAACCAATATTGTAATACGTCACGTTAAAGAAAGAAAACGTTGAGTCCAATTTAAAGATATACAGACACGCGTCTAAGTTGTATCAGACTTGTGGAGCTACGTTTACTCGAGAATTCCACCACGTGGGTCCGGGAACCAGCGGTGTGTCGCGGTTGGGTGTACTCGATTCGCTGTACAGCGTGGGCTGAGCGGACGGCGTCTGACGCGTGTTGCCTTGATAGAAAGGATGGAATCGCGTAACCCCGCCCATGCCTGCGTGAAAGTGTAGCAAAACAAACAATCCTTAAACCAAATCAACTAGCATGCTTGACGAAGCTAGAAATAGTAAAAGTAAACCGTTTAGGTGGATTGTCGCTAAGAAGAACGTTAGAAGTATGAAGTATTATTTGCAGAAAAACGGTTTTACAAGTGAAACAATTATTAAGGGACAGAAAAAGAGACGAAAACAGCATCGAAACCCTATAATCTCACGTGGAACTGCGTTGACTAAACGTTTCTGTAATGTTACTTATTGATCAATATTCATTCAGAGGTGTAAAAAGTATTCAGAAACTGTATTGAAGCTAAACTATTAAAGTACTGCATCCGTAATCGTACTGAGGCAGTACAAGTGCAACAGTATTCTCCACAGTAAAAGTACTTATTAAGCAGCGTGGTTTATTTGAGATCTCAGGGACATTTATTGCCAAAACATGTTAAACATACAAGGAAGTTGACATGGCGGTTGGTTGTATGTTGTATTCCTGAGTTAAATATAAGGGAAAGTTTCATTTGATTACGTTGCGTAGCTTAATGTATATGAATGAATCACCATTTATTTATTGAATTGTTTTGTATTTTATATGTATTTCTTATTGTGGAGTAAGTAAAGCTGACAAATACAAAAGGTGAGTTAGAATAATGAAGTAGCATAAAAAGTGGAGCACAAGTACATCCAAATTGTATTATTTCCGGTACTTGAGTAAATGTAACTGTTTGCTTGTTTTATTATTTCAGGACAAATTTGTCCTCATTTCCAAGCACATCAGACATGATGTCATAGACGGGGTTTTGAGACAACGTCATAGATAAGTTACAGCTGTGCACGTTTACACCCGACCTGTCCGTCATACCAGCCTTTCTTTGGGGGGGGGAACAGGACTCACCGCCGCCCGCCATGGGGTTGACCAAACAGTACCTGCGCTACGCCGCCAGCGCCGTGTTTGGCGTGATCGGCAGCCAGAAGGCCAACATCGCCTACGTGACCCTCCGGGGGGGGGAGAGGGGCCGCCACGTCGCCGTGGCCGCCTGCGAACACGTGTTCATCTGGGACGTCCGTAAAGGAGAGAAGGTGAGATTAATTCGTTTCATTTCTTTCTCGCGTGTTTCATTTAAAAAAAAAAAAAATTCACTACTTTTTTTGCTTCTCTCGCAGGTCTTGATCCTTCGGGGCCAGAAGCACGAGGTGACCTTCCTCTGCCCCTCGCCCCGACGGCGTCCACATCGCCGTGGGTTACGAGGACGGCGCCGTGCGCGTCTTCAGCCTGCAGAACGGCGAGAGCAACGTGTCCTTCAAACGGCCACAAGTCCGCCGTCAGCGCCATGAGCTACGACGCGCTCGGGGCTCGGCTGGTCACCGGCTCCAGGGTAAAGTCAGCGCGCCTCCCGCCGCTGTGTAAAGCGCGCGGGGCTAGTGGGGCTTAGCTTCGTCATGGTAGCGTGGTGATTAGCGCTTTCTCGCCTCCTCAGGACACGGACGTGATCGTGTGGGACATCGTCAACGAGTCGGGGCTCTACCGCCTGCGAGGCCACAAGGACGTGGTCACCCAGGCGTTGTTCCTCAGAGACAGGAACCTGCTGGTCTCCAGGTAACGCACCTCCGCACCGCGCGGCGGCCGTTAAACCGCGTCACACTTCAGTCCGTTATTTCCCCCTTTCTAGGGTAGAATGAAATGAAGCTCGTTGGAGAGAACCAACTGTTGACAGATAGTAAAACACCGTGTGTGTCCCGCTCAGCTCCAAGGACAGCTTCGTGAAGTGGTGGGACCTGGACACGCAGCACTGCTTCAAGACCATGGTGGGCCACCGCAGCGAGGTGAGGGGTCCTGAAAGCACACAGGAGACGCCTCTTCATCTGTGATGCCACACAGACCTTTATGACCGGGGGGGGGCGGAGGTGTCGACCGTAGTCTCTTCAAAGCCACCAGACTCCATTGAGGAAAACGCTGATTCTGCGGTCGGTTGTTGCTGCTTCACAACCGCTAGTTTGTGTTCCTGTGTGACGTCGGCGTTTTCAATTGTTGTCATTCAACACAACGAACTCCGCGGTCAATTTAGCTCCAGTGTTCTGTCAAGTTTAACAACCTGTTTTTATCTCTCGAGTCTGGTGCACAATTTCGTTAATAAAACCGCCGTTAAATGTTAATATTTAGTCCACTTTGCCCTGGTCCTGCCTGGACCCATGTGACAGCACCGCTTCGTGTGTGTGTGTGTGTGTGTGTGCGTGCGCTAGGTGTGGGGCATGGTGCTGCTGAACCAGGAGAGCCGGCTGCTAACGGGCTCAGCAGACAGCGAGCTCCGAGCCTGGGACCTCCGCTACCTGCAGGAGGTGAGGAGGCACACGGAGGACGCGTGGCTCTCGATCCCGGTTCACCTGATGTCCGATTCATTAACCATACAAGCATGTATATGTGTGCACACAGAAAGAGTTTGTCTCTCTCTTCAGGAGAAAGCTGAGGGGGAGCCAGAGGTGAAGAAGGGTAAAACTCTGCTGGGTGATGATGATGATGATGATGACGATGACGACACCCAGGAAGGAGGGGATGAAGGTCTTGAGGAGGTACAAGAGATGTAATGTGTTCTTGTGAGAAAACACAAATGTTTAAAATATACCAGCCGTACTTTTTTTATCATGTTAATAATATGTGCTTAAACAAATACTGTTGTAATAATGTAAAAACCAGTAAAGTGAACGTCTCTGAATCGACGTCCGTCACCGCTTCCTGCGTTAACCTTCGTCCTCTGCGGCTCCCAGCGGATCCTCCGCTGTCAGAAGGCCGGCTCGCTCCTGCGGGAGAGCCGAGACCGAGTCGTCTCGCTGGCAGCCGACGCCAAAGGCCGAGTCATCGGCTGCCACGTGAGTGACCACGACCAGCTGCGCCACGGCCGGCCGCGCTTTCACCAGCTGTAGGCGTGTTGTTCAGTTGCACGCTGAGTGCTCGTCTCCCTGCAGGGCAACGACTCGGTGCTGGAGCTCTTCACCGTGCTGGAGGAGGAGGAGGTGCAGCAGAGGATGACGAAGAAGCAGAAGAAAGCCAAGAAGAAGGCGGCAAAGTAAAGCCCGTTGGTTCTCTGCGGTTCTTTGTTGACGTGCTGTAGCTCCTCCCACCTTTTTCAAGCCTTATTGCTGTGCGGCTGCAGGACTCAAGGAGACGCACGCGAGGAGGCGAAGCGGACGCTGGCGGACGAGATCCTCCGGCTGACCAACGTCAAAGCCTCCGCCAAGATCAGGTGAGCGAGCGGCCCCGCTTCGCCACGGCGCGGGCGGCGGCTAACGGGCTCCCTCCCGTCTCCTGCGCAGGTGGGCGGACGTCTTGTTGTGCGCGAGCGGCGAGCTGAAGGTGGCGCTGCTGCTGCAGAACAACACCATCGAGACCTACGCCCTGAAGATGTCGGACCGGGCCCCCGCCCCCAACAAGACGGCCCGCCTCACGCTGGGGGGCCACCGCACCGACGTCCGCACGCTCGCCTTCAGCTCGGACAACCTGGCCGTGCTCTCCGCCTCGGGGGACACGGTCAAGGTGTGGAACAGGTGAGGAGTCCCGACAGCCGAGTGGTGACCGGCGACTGGGGAGCGGTGTTTGACGCCGCGTCCCGCCTTGCGTGTTCCGACAGGTCGACGCTGCAGGTGATCCGCACCATGGCCTGTGATTACGCCCTCTGCTCGCTGTTCGTGCCCGGAGACCGGCAGGTCATCCTGGGAACCAAGGTAAGAATAAATACCAATCATCATGTGCTACTGTCGACCGTCTGGAACAATACGAGAGCCGCGAGCTGTAAAACTCATCAGATTTCCATTTTTCAGACGGTCTTTGAACACATCACGTGTGACAGAATACTATTTAACTAGAGGAGACGGTGCTTTCAGGGTCTGATCGATGCGGCGAGGTGCGTCCGCTCCCGCCGCCCCCCTCGCCATCCACGCCTTAAATTTCCGGCTGCTTTTAGAATAACTTATGTTCCCCGTTAAAATGGTTCAGCTGCTGTAGAGAAAAGGGCGCCGTCTCTCGCTCTTTAATCTCATGAAGTGCTCGGCGAGAACGACAGCTTTGTTTCTCCGACGCGCCCTGAAAGCAGCTCCGTATCTCGCTCAGCATCTCGCCGTCGTAGACGAGCTTTGGCGTGTTTGGCAGAGTGTACAACCAGTACGGATCAACCGATTAACCAATTGATCCATATATAAACCTCCGGATTATAAGGCACTGTTGTTTTTGGGGGAAATTAAAGCCTTTTAAATGCGCCTTGGAGTGCGGAAAATGCGGTATATTGACTTTAATACCACAAGAGGGCGCCGCGTTTGTTGAACAACGACAGGCGGACAAGAGCAGCCGTTTGGAGCCTTATTGTTTTATTAATCTGTCCGTTTAAATTGTTTGTGCTTCATCAACTAATGTTTCACATAACTAATGTGCCGCATCATGAATAATTTTATATTCTTTTCAAAATTGAAAATTAAAAACATTTAATTTATTTATTGTAAATGACCTCTCGCGGCCCAACAGGGAAGTGAAAATGAAGGAATCCATGATTAACCCATCTGAGACATGTGACCTTTAACCTTGATAAAGAGCAACATTTGTGGGCACTATAACATATTTTGGATCTAGACGATCAAGAATATCAAGAAATTCAACTTGATTTGTAGAATTATAACTGTTCTTCTGCACAAAGGTTTAAGTTCCCTCTACTTGCTAGTGATTGTCCTGCTTTCAGGACTTTTATTTTGAAGTGAAAATGAAGACCGTGTGTGGTTTAAGAAGTTCGAGGGTCAGTTATTGTTTATCTAAATAACTCGCGGCGGCAACATGGCCGACGCACTGACTCCAAAAGCTCCTCTCGTGTCGGTCTGATGATGCGTGTTCTGCCGTCAGAGCGGGAAGCTGCAGATCTTTGAGTTGGCCTCGGGGAGCCTCCTGGAGACGGTGGACGCCCACGACGGATCTCTGTGGTCCCTGTGCCTCGCCCCGGACCAGGTAACCACGGCGACGCCTCATTTCCCAACGGCCTCCCGTGAGGTCAGGAACGCAGCCGCGGTGTCTCATTGGCGCGCGTGCGTTGTCCCCGCAGAGAGGGATCGTGACCGGAAGTGCCGACAAGACGGTGAAGTTCTGGGAGTTTGAGCTGATGAAGGACCAGGCGAGCGCTCAGAAGTGAGTTTTTGGCTTCTTTCAAATGATCAGAAGCCTCATCAGACTTCTCGTCGTGATATCTATTCTAAAAATGAAAGGTTTTACAGCTCTTCTTAAATCACACAATATAGAAAATACAGGATTTCATCTGCGGAAGGAAGGTTTTCTCTCTTATTCTTATAGTCTGTGTGACATGAGCTATAAATATATCCTTATTATAAGAATGATGCCATATTTTCCCTCAGGAGGCTGACGGTGAAGCACACGCGCACCCTGCAGTTGGAGGAGGACGTCCTGTGTGTGAAGTTCTCTCCTGACCACAGACTGCTGGCCGTCTCGCTGCTGGACTCCACCGTGAAGGTCTTCTACACCGACACGCTGAAGGTACTGGTCCCCCCCCCCCCCCCCCCCCCCCGCCGCAGCATTCCCCCGATGCAGTAATGATGATAATCGCGGTGCGCGTGCTAACTTGACTTTTCTGCGTCAGTTCTTCTTGTCTCTGTATGGACACAAGCTGCCGGTTCTCTGTCTGGACATCTCGCATGTGAGTAGACAACAGGGAGAGAAATCCTTCCTCGTGTCGAATGAGTATGCGCGTCACCTCGTGACCTTTGACCCCGCGCGTTTCCCCCCCTCACCAGGACAGCGCGCTGATCGCCACCGGCTCCGCCGACAGGAACGTGAAGATCTGGGGTCTGGACTTCGGCGACTGTCACCGCTCCATGTTCGCTCACGACGACAGGTAAGAAAACCTGTCACGAGTTTACTGCGACAGTTAAACAGAAAAGAAAGAAAGAAATGAGATTGTTTTCCAGTGACGACTTCTTCTGTGGTGGTCGGGGATCAGTGTGAGCGCCCGGTGATGTCACAGCAGCTGCCTCTTCTTCTCTTCTTACTTGATTATCTTGCAGCTTCATTTCCAGCCGCTGTGATCACTCAGCTGTGTGTCTTTTTTTCTTCTGGGGGGCTTGATTGCCTCATTTTGTTTTATTTTTATATATATATATATATATATATATATATATTTTGTACATGTATTCTACACATACGTGTTCACGCCGACCTTCATTCTGTGTCTACTTCGCAGCGTCATGTTCCTCCAGTTCGTCCCAAAGACTCACCTCTTCTTCACAGCGGGGAAGGACAAGAAGATCAAACAGTGGGACGCCGACAAGTTTGAGCACATCCAGACGTTGGAGGTGAAGCTCCGCCTCCACGAGCTGTCCGGGATCCGCAATAATGTCGCGTCGCGAGAATAAATCATTGTCATGATATTTTATGTATCGAAAGTATCCTAATATCGTCGTATCGCGATAATGTTCTCTATCATAATAATGTGTGTTGATCTGGCATTGTGACAATGTTGCATTGTGACAATGTTGCATTGTGACATTGTTGCATTGTGACATCGTTGCATTGTGACAATGTTGCATTGTGATAATGTTGCATTGTGACAATGTTGCATTGTGATAATGTTGCATTGTGATAATGTTGCATTGTGACAATGTTGCATTGTGATAATGTTGCATTGTGACATCGTTGCATTGTGACAATGTTGCATTGTGACATCGTTGCATTGTGACGACAATGTTGCACTGTGACGACAATGTTGCACTGTGACATCGCTCTCATCATGATAATATCATCCCGTGATGTATTGTTTAGTGTGGAGGGGGGACTCTGGGGACCCCCCCCCCCACCTCCCTACTCATCATGTGACTCCTCCCGTCTGCTTCACAGGGCCACCACCGGGAGGTCTGGTGCTTCACCATCAGTCCGAGCGGAGACCACTTGGTGTCGTCCTCTCACGACAAATCCCTGCGCCTGTGGGAGAGGACGAGGGAGCCCATCATCCTGGAGGAGGAGCGGGAGATGGTGAGGGAGGAGGGGGCCGGGGGGGAGGCAGAGGGGGGAGGGGTGTCACTGATGGACTGTCATTCACACTCACCTGAATTCACCTGTTTTCATATCGCTAGAAGCGAGAAGCAGAGTTCGAGGAGAGCCTGGCCAGCGGAGATGTTCCTGTGGTGAGCAAGTCAGCTTTTAGTTTTCTGCACATTTACGTCAAGCTCCTCTAACTAGTGCGCTGCATTTTTATCACAATTTGAGTGGGATAACTCGGCCCAATTAGCCGAGGACAACATTTCATCCGAGCCGCCGGCCCATTCTCTTGTTTCTACCTTCAGGTTCCCGGAGAGACTCAAGGAGAAGCGGCGCCAGCCAGCAAGAAGACGATTGAGACGGTCAAAGCTGTGAGTCGCGGCCCGAATCTCGTTCTCCTTCTTTTGAACGTGGCGGGGGCGCCGCTGACGTGCAACCGTCCACGCGGACCTTGAATACTTAAATGTGTCCTCTGGGACTTTGCAGGCGGAGAGGATCATGGAGGCTCTGGAGCTTTACAAAGAGGAAAACAGGAAGATGGAGGAGTATAAATACGCCTGTATGGCGGCGGTGAACGAGGTAAAGGCTGTTTGTTTCATTCCCTCTCGAGGGGGGGGGGGGTTAAGTATCCCGCTGCCGTTAACAAATATCCACCGCCTGTTGCTTTTGCAGCTCCCTCTGCCGAAGCCGAACCCCATCCTCGCTGCGCTGGGGAACGTTTCGGTAAGTTGACTCGATTAATCGATTGATCGGTGCAGCGGTTTCTTACTCCGTCTTTCCTTCTTCGCCGCAGCCGTCGCGCTACGTGCTGGACGTCATAAAGAAGGTCCGGTCCAGGTAAGACGGGCGGTGTTTTGACTCTTTGACGTTACCCAGAAGGCTCAGCGCGTACTGAACGCCGCCGGGTGTGGGGGGGGGGTCGTCTCTTTCAGTGAGCTGGAGGTGTCCCTGCTGGTGTTACCGTTCCAGTACGCCCCCCCGCTGCTCAGGCTGTTCAACGACTACATCCAGCAGGGCCTGGAGGTGGAGCTGGTCTGCCGCTGCCTCTTCTTCCTCCTCAAGTAAGAGCGAGCGCGCGTGAATCGGCTTGTTGGACAAAAAAATGTATAACATATTTAAATACTACGCTGCCTTTTTATCTGAATTGGATATCGCATGAGTTTTTACAGTGTAAAATTAAACAAATAATATTATTGTATACTGATTAGCCATAAGGTGTTTAATTAGATATGTGTTGTATATTATATGTGAATCTTCTGTATAAATGAATCAGGTATTTGTGAATAATTAAAAGTAGTAATAATTCATTAGTCTGCGCTATACATCAATTAAATTTATTGTGATGTTAGACGTCGTTCTTCTGGATATTTTAAGTAGTTTGTGAATTTATCTTACTTATTTTTATCTTAATATCCCGTTCTGTTAGGATCCATTTCGGTCAGATATCCAGTAACCAGATGCTGCTGTCCGTCATCGACGAGCTGCGGACCAACACCGTCTCCAAAGTGCAGGAGATCCGGGTGAGTCCCCCCGGGGGGGGGGGGGGGGTGGTGTCCTTCTTAAACCCCGTCCCCCGTACACCTTACCTTCCATCCCCCTCCCCCCTCCTCCCAG